TTCTGAATGATATCAAGTTAGATTTAAAAAAAAGCGAGGGTGAGTGCCAAGGTATATCAAGTTTTTGAGACGCAATTTGATAAACGTTTGGAGAAAAATATTTATGGTAATACTCTATAAAAACGGCAGAAACTTCTACTCTAGGGTACGATATGCATTGCACCTTTAAAAAGCTATAATTTCAACTTTCTTGAGTGGAAAATTAGATTACAAATAATGACTTCTCATACTATTTTCTACCCTATAGGCATAATTTTCTACTTTTAGAAAATAGAAAATTATACGTTACTAGATGCATATCACATATCCTACCCTAAGGTAAAAATTTTTACCTTTTTTTAGATAAGTTGACCCATATTTTTTTGATAGACTATCAAAAACATGTGTCAACTTTTTTTATGGAGTTGACACATTTTTTTGGTAATTTTTGTTTAAGCATATATATTTTTTCCTCTCTTTGTAATATGGGAAAAAAATATGTGATCAAAATATTTTCAGTCATATCCCTAACACACACACACACACACACACACACACACACACACACACACACACACACAGAGTATCCACACGGCTGCAAAGTATAAGCAGAGATAAGCAACTTGAAGTTATACCAATACCAATTAATAGATACACACTTAACAAACCGTTAAATAAAAAACATGCTGCAAGAAATTTATTTTTTCTACGCTCTTTACTTATTTATGCAAACATATGGCAAAAGAAGACGCGTGGGTTCAAATTGAAAATGAAAACCTTGTAAAGTTATATTTATCATACTTTAAACGTAAACAGAGTTTAAAACAAAAACAAAATTAATACACAAAAATTTGATAATTGTAAAATTTGTTATCAGAATTTTTTACAAATACAATAATTTATAGATAAATTAATAATTATACTAGTATTTAAAAATTATGAATTATATGATGTCCTATGAACTGTGATGCCCAGTGCTAACAACCTCAATTGTCCTCACCCCCTTTTTGACTAATTTTTTTATTTTTTATTTTTATTTATATATATTCGTCATTGTTGATATAAATTTGTACAACATTTGAAACCGTGAAATATATGACTGGAGCAAGTAAAAGACAATAGTCTTATCATCTTGCCCGTTGACAAAATATAACAAAATATAAACCAAACACAAGTATAATAAAATATTTATAATAACTTTTTTTTTTTTTTACAATGAACATCATTAAATAACCAAGCAAGTGATATAATAGAATTTCAAGAAAAAGTGAAGATTTGATTATTATTGTTATTATTACTATTATTATTACTTTTATTATTACTTTTATTATTAAAATATGCAAGTTATTATTATAACTGTTTAATATTGCTATTAATTAAAATCATTATTCTATAAAAATGCATTTCTATACTCTCGAAAACCGAAAACATAAAAATATTCAATTCTGCTTAAGGCGCATACTCCCCCATTTTTAAATATAGACAACAGATAACAACTCTTGACATAAAAGGATTAATCATTTCATAAAAATAGATAAATAAAAATGTATTAAAAGTATAAAATCCCCCCCCCCCCCCCCAATGAGCAGAAAATAGGATTTAGCCAAGCTTTAGCAAAAATAAATAAAAAGGAAAAATAAGACTTTTGCTAGTACATTTAGAATAGACGCGTGAATTTTAAACGTTTTTAAAAATCAAAAACATAAAAATATAAAAATTATGCCGTTAAAAGTGTATACTCTTTAAATAATGACAATAAATAACACTTTTGACATAAAAGGATTTGCCATTGTATAAAAATTGTTAATAGAAAAAACTAGTTGGGATAGTTGCTGTTGTAAGCGTTAAAATTCCCCCAAAATAAGTAGAAAATAGGATTAGGACCAAACTTTAGGAAAAAAAAAAAAAAATTAAAACAAATTAAAAAAAAAAAAAAAGTCAAACCAACACTTTTGCTAAAATATTTAACATGCTAACATAAAAGCGCATGCGTGTTTTAAATAAAACAATTTTTTTTTACAGTTTTCTGGGTACGAAAGCCACGAGCATTATAAATCGTCATAAAATTATCAAAATCAAGTCACCAGATCCTCTGACTTTATTTTTGAATTATCTACCATCGAGTTCCAACAAATTAATGTAGGCTATTGATGTTGAAGTAAATTAGTTTGATTGGCTTCTTTGCACCTTATTCTTCTTGCAAAACCAACAAGATTCATTATAAAGTAAAGAAGATTATAAAATGAAGAAGCTAAAGGAATCGAAAATAAAGATGTTAAAGGATCTTTAAAATACTTCACAAGAAGATTTTCTCAATAACTTACAAATAAAGATGTAACAAAAAAATTTTTCTATACAACAAAACCACATTAATACTTGTATAAGACAAAGTTCTGAATAAAAAAAGAATTTACTTTTTCAGAAGAGTGTTTAAAGCTTCTTTTGTAAGATTTTTTTTTAATGATATGTTATACTTGTCATATCTAACTATATTTTTAAAATAAGGAATATAGTTAAAAATGTAACACGTTTCAATACAACTTTTTAAAGACTTTAGCACTTTGTAATAATATGTTTTTAAAAAACTCAGCGCTTGCTTCAGAATCAATAGGTCCAAGATACAATACCAGCCTTAACCATTATTGTGACATAATACCGTAAGGACTTCTTAAACCACCTTAATAACCACAAAAATAGAAGACAAAACAACAAAGTGTTTTGTCATCTTTTTTTTGGTATCCTAGATACTGTTTATGCTATACACTTTAGTTGATGAAAGTCCTATAAGCGAATCCTTGAAATTATGAATTTTCTTCAAAAATTGGTAGCAACATGATTTATTTTTTGTCGTTCTGCTCTACATGTTTACACCACACTTCATAATGTATCAAACGTTTTATCACGCCTTCCACCACAAAATTATAATGTACCAAATGTCTTACAACGCCTTACACCAAAATAACATAATGTTCCAAATGTATCATGTTTTTGAGTTTATGAGTAGTTTAAAGACATTCCAAAATCCTGTGGAATTAGTTAAATAAAAAATTAGTGTATTAAATGTAAGTTTTATAATGTATTCTTGGTTTTCTGGCCGTGAATGTTTATCAAATCGAAAAAAAGTCATATCCTATTTATTTTTGTATTATTAAATTAAATATGAAATATACGTCACGTTTCTATTTCTTTTTAAGTTTCTTGTTCTAGAAGAAAAATTTAAAAATTTCTAAATTACAGTAAATGCATTATTACTACTTAAAATGCAATAATAACATGGCTATTGTAAAAAATCTATTTTGACAGATCTGCTATTAAACTATATACTTCTACAGTAGACCATATTATTTATGGTCTTCTATATTATTAGATCTTCCATTATTAGTTAATAGTAGGTTGCAATTAATATTCATAAACTAATTGTTGAAATAAAAAAAGAAAACTTATCATAACATTCATTTCTTTTGAATTAAAAGACACGCATATTGGGAGTGCCTTTTTTCTTGAAAATAATAAGTGATTTTTTAAATGGATTTTTGGAAACAAAATCATTTGCTTTAAAACTTAGTGTGAAAGTCAAAATTACATTTAGAGTTTATAAAATGTTAAAAAGATAATTTATCATTTTTTGTTACGAAAAAATAAACATTGTGTCTTGGTTAAAACACGAAAGAAATGATTTTATGTTGGTATCAAAAATACCAAAACTAACCCATAAAAAACCAATAATATTATTTGATGACTTTTTTTCAAATTAAAAATGTACAGCATTTATTTGTAATGCGGTGACATTTTGTTTTTACATCGAGACAGTTATTCGCTTTTAAATGTTTCAGTTATGTTCAAATTCAAGTAAATATAAATAATTCTTTTGTCCTTAACTTAAAAATAGATTCTATCATAAATTATTTATCTCATGTACGTAAGTTTTATATGTATTGGTTAAATAAGGCTTTTTGTTTTCAATGTTGTGTTTGGCGCAATTAATCTATGCGACGTTTTGTATAGCTCTCCCCATTTTTGGATATTTGTTAGTGCAATCAAAACCATCGATAGTTTTGTATGTTGATAACCCTAACTCAAATAGATAGCCATCTGTCGTTTCTCTTTACACGTTTATTCTTTCACACCTTAAACATTTTTTAAACATAGCTACGAGTTTATTGTAAATTTTTCCCTATAAAAATCAAAAGAAGGTTAATTAAAATCAGTTTCGACTAGTTAGTAATTGAATTACAACAACAGTATAATAGTAGGCAGTCCTAAAAATACAAATAACATTTTTTTTTAGATAAACAGTTAAAATCATACAAGAAATAAAGTGTAAAAATTAATGAGAAAACTCAAGTGTTTTTTTAATTAAATAAGTGATTATTTTTTATTACATTATTAAATACCACTGAATTGCTTACCTTACTGAAATTGAATTTCAAAAACAGATTTTATATTTCTTAGAGATTTTTAAAACAAAATTACCAATGAATGATTTTTCAGTGTTTTTATACCAAAACTTATTATGTAACGCCCTGGCCGTATATAAAAATAATATAGATTATAAAAATAAACCGATGGGAACATAATATTACAGTTAGCATATACTTAGTACCGCACGAAAAATAAATAAACATCAACTCATGGCTTTAGTGAACTCTGGTAAGCAATATTTGACGTAGTGTTTCACACCAGTCATCAAAATTCTATTAGTAAAACAATTTGTAGAACAGCCTATTACACGTCCTACTTTTCACGTTTGAAGCTGGTCTGATATAGTGTTTCAAAAAGAAAGCGTTCTGCTTCAGTTAAAATAATACTTCAATAGCGCTTAATAAAAATCTTCCACTTTCGTTAAAAAAGTTTTTATAAAAAAACGCCGCTAATTTAGTCGCTATTTCTTGTAAAATAAAATGATTTACATTTTTAAAGCACATTTAACAATTTAAATAATATTAATAACATGAACAATAATCGCTGTAATCACATAAATTTAAATAGTATCAATATGAATTTAAAGAAGAACACCTAAATGACTTAACATTCTATTAAATATTATATATAATTTTTTTATACTAAATATATCATTTTTTAATCATCAGTTCCCGGCGCATCTTCATAAGTTTCAACTTTTGTAACAGACTCAACAAAATGTTCTGATTCGTTCTTACTGGCTTTTTCATCCAATTCTTTATGAGCATCGCCTTCAGAGAGAATTTTATTCAATTCATTTTTTTCATCTTTCGAAGCATTATAAATAGAGCCATTTGCAATATGTACAGAAACTATTTCTGACACAACGGACGGATCAGGAACATTAAAACCGATCACGTTTTCAGTATTATTGGACTCGTTTTTGATACAACTTTCATTAACATTATGATCTTTACTATCTGTAATACTTTCAGTAACAATTTCACTAATCAAACATTCAGCAGTTCTCTCTGAATTCGATACATTAGAAGTTTGATTTGCTAACTCTGATTTTGTTTTATTTTCAGGCCCGAAATTTTCTTCATTAGTTATTTCTGCTTCTTTATCAATACTATCATTATTTGGCACAGAATTTTCATTTCCAATATCTAAATTGGATTTAACTGTTAACTCTGATTCTATTACACATTCGGTTGTGTTTACTTGCTCTAATACATCTCCAGGAGATTCATTCGATGCAGAGTTAACATTGATTGGATTACTTTCTCCGTTTTCTAAATTATGCATGCATGCATGAGAATATATATATATATATATATATATATATATATATATATATATATATATATATATATATATATATATATATATATATATATATATATATGTATGTATATATATACACACACATGTATGTATGTATGCATGCATGTATGTATATATGTATGTAAGTATGCATGTGTTTTTTATATATACATATATATACATGTATATACATATATATATATACATATAAATACATATATATATATACATATAAATACATATATATATATTTGATACAAAACGAGGTCGGGAATTTTTTGCCGACCTTAAACACTTTCAGGTCGGCAGTTAGGTCGGCATTGCCGAATGCCGACCCTAATTCCGAGGGTTGTATATATATATATATATTTTATGTATATATTTAAAGATTTTTTTACAAAGCTTCATAGTACGAATTTTTTTTATCTAATATGCCGAATTATCAGACTTTTATCGCAACTGATTATCAGACATTTATTGCATCTGTACATTTTAAAATGAAAAGCTTTTGTTAAAAATTTCATTTAAATATATGAACTATTTCTAGACTGTGTATTAAATACTGCAGATGTTTAAACAGCTTGCAACAATATATATATATATATATATATATATATATATATATATATATATATATATATATATATATATATATATATATATATATATATATATATATATATATATATATATATATATATATATATATATATATATATATATAATCACACATACATATGGACTTTATTAATTATAAACAAATTAAGTTTTATAATTAATAAATATATTAAAAAAAAAAAATTACGGTTTTACCATTTTTTCCGTTGCACTCAGGCTTTTCAACTTCACCATTTGTTAAATTTTCGTTTTTCAAAAGTCCTTGTATAGTAAAAATAAGATTATTGAAAAATAATCAAACTTTTTCAGTTAATAAAACAAAATACTGCCAAAAATACACAACAAAACAATAGGGTACACACAGCGCAACATTTGGACACACATACCACAACAATTCGACAAATGTGTCAAGAATACTGCCGTACGTAGTAAAAAAAAACCCCGAAATGTCAATAAAAACAAACCTTGAAAATGAAAGCAAATCAAATATATACTAACCTTCTTTTACTTCATTACTATCTGAAATTTCTAAAAATCGAAACATGTATTAAATAACAAAAATGAAGAAAAATAACATATAATGACTGGTATAAAAATATTTTAATAAAGCAAGGAAATGATTCTACCTTTATTTTTCGTAACACACAGTTTCAAACCCATGTTTGTTCACGTACAAGAGTTAAAACTTTGTAACTCGTGGAAAATAAATTAACAAAACAACGATAAAAAACTTAATAATTTACTGGATTGGCCAAATTGATGAGCAAATTAATCGCAAAATAGAAAAAGAGTGTTCTATGCAAATGTTTTGTAATGGGAACGTAAAATGAAGTCATAGAAATCAAACGGAGCAGATTGCGTTTTAGCAAACACAATAAAAAGATTGCAATATTTATTAGATTTTGACGTTTTTATATTAATTTCATTGAATTTTCTAAACGCGAATCTAAAAGAGTTTTCAACATACACACAAAAAAAAAACAAACACAAAGATCATGAAAAAAACTTGTGAAACCACCTTAAATAAAAACTTTGTTTTGCGATACAATTTATCGTCTTAACTTTATTTTGAGGGATGTAATTCAGCAATTAATTATGAAGCGTATGAAAAACTACAAAACAAAAACTTTTTTGTATTTTATTAAAATTAATTACCAGTGTTAAAATCTGGGAAAAACCTTGCAATGTCGTTACGGGCACCAGACGCACTCGAACTACAATGCACAGCATTTCTTATTGCATCTTTTCCAAATTGAGCTCGCAAACTAGAAAAAATTAACTATAAATGCTAAGTATTATATTCTTGGTTTTATAATTAGGTATCTAATAAACTTAATAGCTAACAGTAAAACGGTTAATATTGAAATATTAATGCTTAAAGATTTAATATACCACAAAAAATAAACTAAACAAAAAAAAAAATTTTTTTTATTAATTGTACATGATTAAACAAAAGTGAATGGATTTAAGACACGAGTTTTCCGATAAAAACAACAAAATGTCACCTTGGAGTTATTTTTACTTTTAATGCAAATCTAATTCAGATAATAAAGCATCATATATATATATATATATATATATATATATATATATATATATATATATATATATATATATATATATATATATATATATATAAATAACATTATTAGTATCTATTTAACGGCTTAAGGCTTCTTCATTATGTATTTTTTTCACTTTTTCATTAGTAAATAAAAAATTGTGAATTCAACGTACCTAATATTGTGTACTAAAATTCAATGAAACAATCACATTTCCCAAACATAAAACAGGATAATATTTTGATATTTTTTTGCTTATTTTTAAATTTCATTACGTAACATTGGTTATTTTTTAAGGAGTCGTTCATCAATTAAGCCACGCTCTAGGAAAGGGGAGGACAGGGGAGGGGATTGGACAAAAACGGTCAAATATTGCGTGACGTAATTTATAAAGGAAATAGTATAACGATTCAGCATTATTATTATCTAGGCGACAAATTTTAAAAAAAAAGCCTTTTAAAAATGGATTGTAAAATAAGAAACTAATATTTCAAAATGATTAAACTTTGATCAAAAAATGTTGTAAATCAAATTTCCCGGGACTTATATTAAATGCTCAAACAATAAAGTGCAAGAAAGTACTGATATATTTTATTTTTTACAAGTTTTATTTAAAACAAAAAACTTGAAAAATAATTATTTAGTTTAAATAGTTATTATTTTAAATGTAATTCTTTTTTAAAAGTTTGAAATTGTGTTCATGTAACAGCAACACCCTCAAAATTTTTTTGATTGCTTATTTACTTATTTAAAAAATTGCAAATTTAGGTAGAACTTAATATTGGTTACTAATCTTTACACAAGCCAGTGAGAACACTGGCTTGTGTAAAGATTAGTAAGATTAGTAGCTTGTGACAGCTACTAGTTAAAATTGGCTTTAAAAAACCACCAATTTCTTAAATTAACATATGTAATAAGCTTACTAATACACAAACTATTTTAAATTATTTAATATTTAAATATTATTAAGTAAATTTATAATATAAATAAATATTAACTTTTATTTCATTAAATTAATATAAGTTCAAACTTTATTTTTTTTAAATTTACTTTTTATTTTTTATTTCAGTTACAACATTTGATTTCAGGGTGGGGGGGGGGGGCTGGGAGTATATCAGCCCAGGTGAAGATAAATATACCGGCCCAAAAGTATAATAATAATATCTTTAATTTCATAGGTGTAATTATAAAGTAGATATCAAGAGCTATTAATAGCTAAATATACTCATTGACAACAGTACCAACATACTAAGCCGATAACTGAATAATATAACGCTATATAAAGAATCATATTCATCTTATTATATGATTATTGATTATAGAAGATATGAAACTAAAATAATAGACTAGACTGCATGATAGACATTCAATTTACCATTATATCGCAAATTTATAATTTAAATTTAAAGCCTCTATATTGACCAGCCCAGTTGGACTTCTCTGCCTTACTGCCCTGGCCATTCTGCCCCTGTTTGACTCAAATATTTCTATTGGGCTTAAATAATTAAAGTAAAAAAAAAAATATGTATTTATATATTAAAAATAATTTACTATATATAAAACATTAACAATAATTTACATTATATAAAAAATGTATAAATTTATATAATACATTATATATTATAGTTGTAGCCATAAAATATACATACAATATATACATACAGCAAGCAGGGAAAACACCCTACTATAAACAACCAGTTTTATAAATATTTGTTTTGAATTTTATCCTCAACCAGTGATCTAGTCTAATTTTAAAAGAAAGCACAGTTAAGTAGTACTTGCTCGAGTAGTTCGTTCAAGTATTTTGCTGATCTATTATATAGTTGGTTCTGTCTTGGAAGACAGTTTGGAACATATTCACGCCTTATTTTAAGATGGTAGGTGGTCACCATCTTAAAGGAGTTGATAAACTTTGGTTATTAACAAGGAGTTAATAAACTTTGGTTGATATATATATATATATATATATATATATATATATATATATATATATATATATATATATATATATATATATATATATATATATATATATATATATATATATATATATATAAAACATATAAAAAAATTAGGTTTAAATAAAGATTTTTTTAAAGAAATTTGTCAATATCATATATTTAATAGATGTATTCAAATCATAACCATATTTTTTAGTTTTATAATATTTCTAAATACCAGGATTCTGGTTTTTAAATTTTTTCTAATTTTTAATTTTAGAGGTTTGACATATAGAGATTATTTTATTTATTAACTCAATAGATGGTACATTAACTCAATAGATGGTACATTAACTCAATAGATGGTACATTAACTCAATAGATAATACATTAACTCAATAGATGGTACATTAACTCAATAGATGGTACATTAACTCAATAGTTGGTATATTAACTCAATAGATGGTACATTAACTCAATAGATGGTATATTAACTCAATAGATGGTACAATAACTCAATAGTCATTTTTTTCAATAAATTATATATTTACACAAGATAAACATTATTTTGACTTTATTCAAGCATAGAAAAACACAAGTTATTAAAAGTTATAAGAATTATTTTGTTATTAAAATTGACATACGAATCAGGAAACTTTTCTTTAGCTTCAGTAGGTTCTGTTGGACCCATTAGTCTTCTAAGTTCAGAAACAGCATCCTCCTTTGACAATATAATAAAATGGGTGGTTCCACTAAAAAGTAAAGCTTAAAATTAATAAATCCAGACACAATTAAAAAACAAGTTTTGAAAAAAAATTTCAAGTTGTTCACTTGAAAAATATATTTTATTAGTAGTTCATACAAATTTACCCATTCATCCATTCATTCATTTGAGAACTATTCGTTTTTTTGCAAATTTATGCATAAATTTTAAAGTTATTTATTTTCTTCTATGTTTTGTGTATTATTATGTGTATCTGATTTTTTATTCATTTATTAAGGTTTTACTTTTTTAGAGTATAAATATATTGACTGTAACCTAATGGTATCTTGATAACATTTATGTTATCAAGTTTGCAATTAGTTGTTTACAATAACTTTAAGTTAGGTTATTTACAATAACCTTCAATAAAGTTATTTACAACATATTCATCATTAGAGTAAAAACTTTTTAATGAATAGTATTTGAATCCAACTTGACTAGCCTAAAATTAAAACTTGATACACTCTTATAGCAATCATATCTTTAAAAACTTTTTTGAGCAATTCAAAACCTATTATAAAAACATATTATATATATAAAAACAGCGTAAAACTAACCACAATATCATGATATAAACAACTTTTACAAATTTTTTGAATTTATCTTAAAAAACTCTAATGACATAACGTATCTTTTACAAACTTTGTAAACAATCATGAAATAAATCCTTTATTTTGGAGAAATTTAACACCTTTGCACACTAAGAGAGAAATTTAACACCTTTGCACACCAATGGAGAAATTAAATACCTGCTGTAAATCATTATAAATTTTTAGGATGTAAAAAAAAATTTTTTTTAAATAATTTAATTTTCCAAAAAATGAGAATTGTCTGAGAGCTATAAACCATAGGGTCTTAAATATTGTGAATATATTTCTAACAACAAATGGTACCTTACTTTTCAAAAGATTAAACAACTTTTAATACCCAATTTCAACTTTAACTATAATACAATTTAATATAATATGTTGTTTTACACAACATATAAATAAAGTTTTGTAATTTATAAAATGTAAATTTATATAGTTTAATTTACTATAAGTCCAAATAAATAATAAAATATATTTTAGTAAAGAAACTAAATAATTTCATTTTATACCATAATTACCCCTACTCAATTTTATAAAAAAATATAAAACATTGTACCTGATCAAATAAATCAACCCCAACTCAATTTTATAACAAAATATAACACAGTGTACCTAATCAAATAAATTAGCCTTAACTAAATTTTATAACGATTTTATAACACTGTACCCGATCAAATAAATAAAAAAAAAGTTCTAGAAAACAACTTACGAACTCATGTATTCAGTTAGCTCATCAAAATATGCTTTTTCTCTATGTTCTTTATAAATATCAGCAGACATATCCTTTGTGAGATTGACCTCCTTCTGTGCACATATTGTAAAACCTGCCTCTTTGAACTTGTTGATAATGGCATCTAAAAAGAAATATAATTTTGTATTTTGCTGTCTAAAATTTAAAATTTAAAGAATATAAAACATTATAAGTGATGTATTTTATTTTACCTTTTACTTCGTTTGCTAAATTTGGTTTAATAACTGCAACAATATTTTCGATTGGAAATAAAATATTGATTTCCTTTGAAGCACACGAGTCTGAGTCTGATCCATGAAAAGGATTAATAATGTCATCAGAGTCTGCAAACTTCTCATTGATACTAAAAAGATTAGGTATTAAAACACATTTAAAAAATATATATTTCTAAAATTTACCTATTTATTTGCATACTCATAAGAGAGGGAAATAGACCAGAGCAGAAAAATAGATTATGAAAAATAAAAATACTTAGAAATTTCAGAAAGAAACTTTTTTGTTTGTGACGATTCCACTTAGACAAATAATTTAATCCTAATATTTCGGTGCGGGCTTCCACAATTAAAATTTTTGGATGAGATGGTAAGAAACCCACAGGCTTTCTTACCATAATACAATCAAGTTTATATATATATATATATATATATATATATATATATATATATATATATATATATATATATATATATATATATATATATATATATATATATATATATATATATATATATATATATATATATATATATATATATATATATATATATATATATATATGTATATATATATATATATATATATATATATATATGTATATATATATATATATATATATATATATATATATGTATATATGTATATATATATATATATATATATATATATATATATATATATATATATATATATATATATATATATATATATACTTTTTTTTTTATAGAAAAGCTGCAAAGAAAAAAAAATTTAGTTTTCTTGATTAGATTTATGACTGAAAATATTTTTATTAAATTTGGAGGATATTGAATTTTTTCTTTTTTTTTATAATGTGAAAAGCAAATGGTGACATTTTAGGTGACAAATGAAAACAAATAAAATATTGTAGTAAATAATATCAAAAAAAAATTCATCAATCAACTTTCTTTATGCAAGATGAAGCATGTTGTCTTCATCAAAATAATTGAAGAGATGGTTCTAGAGCAAAGCATTATTGTGTTGTGTTGGAAAATAAAGTCAGATGTCCGCAAAATTTCTGCACTAACTGTACATTAACTGATTTATGGAGAACGCACAAACGCTTCAGTTGCTGCTGCATGAATTGAGATTTGGATTGAGGCATTAATAAATTCTTTTAATTACTCTTTATTTTTTTCTTTTTTCATTAAAAGAAAAAAAGCAAAACAATAATAACGCAAAAATATTTTGCACATATGTATGCAAGTATGTATTTATGTAAGAATGTATGTAGGCAGCCCTCAGAATTAGGAAAAATAAGGTCAGCAATAAACTGCCGATTAAATAAACTGTTAAAGGTCGGCATCAAAGTAACAAAAAAAATTTGACACATATTACACATATTATATTACCATATAACATAGAAATGAGGTCAATTTTTTGCCAATTTCAAACACATTTAAGTCAGCAGTAAGGTCGGTATTGCCAAATACTGACCCAATTTCTGAGGGCTGTGTAGGTTTGTATGTATAAATAAATAAATAAATATATATATATATATATATATATATATATATATATATATATATATATATATATATATATATATATATATATATATATATATATATATATATATATATATATGTATATATATATATATATGTTATAAGCAACATTAATTTTAAACTAAGAAAAACAAACAAAATATAAACAGACATAAAATTTCATCACCTTAATGAAAGATTGTCTTCAGGATTTTCTTTTATTTTTGAGGTTGTTCTAAAAGTGTTAAAGTACCATGTTACAAGTTTTACCATTTTACTACAGTAATATTTAATACTACAAGTGTAATGCTAGATGAATACAAGTATAGATGAATACAAGTAAACTCTACAATAAGGTTATTTCATTTTCATAACTAACTCTACAATAATGATTATTTAATTTTCATAACCTCAACATGACAAGCTTTGGAAATAAAAAAAAGATAATTGATGATCTAATTTTTTAAAACTTTCCCACAAAATATAAAAATACTTTTGAAATTTCATGATATAGTAAAATTAGATAAAATTATGTTAATAAATGAGTAATAAATCAAATATACAACCCAATTCCTAGTAACTAAATACAGTAATAGAATTAAGCATTTCGATGGAGGCGGCGAGGCATAGCTAGGGCTACTGCTTTTGACATATCTAAAGCTTTCGACAAAGTTTGGCAAGCTGGTCTTCTCTAGAAGCTTGCTTCAGGAGAAGCAATCTTTAATCTGATCTGCAACAGATTTGGGCTTGCAGTGGCTTTTGAATTTTAATTCCAACAAAACTCAGTTATTTACTGCAAATAACTATTACAATACTGTTGACATTCCTATATTGATAAATGGCAACACACTCACTGAGTCATCTTCTTTACAACTTTTTAACAAACAACTTCGCATGGAAACCATACATACAATTGATTGTTTATAACGTGCATCTGCTAATGTTGCTTTTCTTTATTGTTCTGGCCATTTTCTTACTCCTGATTTCATTCTCTACCTCTACAAATCTCTTGTTCACTATTGTATGGAATACTATTGTCATATTTAGGCTGGCTTTTCTAATAATGCTCTTTCTCTTCTAAACAAGGTCCAAAAACGCTTTATAAACATAGTTGGATTTCATCTGCCAAGATTGAGTCTCTTTCCCATCGTTGGTTGCATCTCTTTCTCTTTTCTACAAACATCTTCATGGTGGCTGCTCAAAGGAGCTATTATCTCTAGTTCCATCAACTAAAAATCATTCAGCAAAGTCTCATTTATTTACTGTATATGTTTCTGCATGCTCTAAAAACTTTTATTTGTTTAGTGTTTTTTCTCGCACTTCAACCCTTTGGAACTCTTTCTCATCTTCATGTTTTCCTGACTTGTACAATCTACAATTTTTAAAGTCTTATGTAGGCCCTTTTCTTTGCTTTTTAGCTCTAATCAATTTTTTTCTAGTAACTCACAATTGGCTGCTTGCAGCCTTGTTGAGTGTGAATCAGAATAAAATAAAATAAATGCAAAAAATTTGTAAAATAAATAAATTGAAAAAAAAAATTTTCAACAGATTTAGAATGTATTTCAAGCATGATTTTAATCGCTTGCATAAGTTACAACTTTGGGCTTAAATGGCTGTATATTTGCTTTTTTCATAATGAACCTCTTTATAAAAACAACCACTAAACTAAAGATCAAATCATTTTATTTCAGAGTTAATTTACTAATTTTATTAAAATAAAATTTACTAATGTATCGAGTTCCACCAAGAATTACTTACATTGAATAATGCTATAAAGGAAAGTATAGTGTGTTCTTAATAATATTAATATACATCTTTGACATGATATGCTAAAAGATTATGATACTATTTTTTCTTAATACCTCAGCTGTTCCATCAAACAGTTTTCAAATTCTTTTCCATCATTAAAAAAAAGATGAAGCTGCGCAAATTTTTATCTTTTATGCAGGTTGTTGTACTTTTAATACAACAGCTAGCATTTTACTGTCAATATTTTTTTCCCTCTTTAGAACAAAGACCAAAAACAATTGTAAATATTGTTGAATCTACTATAGCTGCTATGTTTGAATCACTGTTCAATTGTTATGGGGTTGCATCTCTTGTTGTGGGCTTGCATCTCTTCCTTGTTTCTACAAATACTACCATGATTACTGCTCAAACAAAATTTTATTACTTTGTTACCAAAACTTTAACAAAACTTTTACAACTCATGTTTTGTATAATTTTAAATTTTAAATTTTAAATTTGACAACAAACAATAATTTTATTTCAAACTTTTTTATTTAAAAATTCTACAGAAGAACCCTGATTAGAAAATTCTAATTATACTTGGCCAAGTAATTTATCTGAATTATTAAATTGCAACACTTATCTGAAATACTTAGCAGTTCTTTTAGAAAGATTGTTGTATTGCACACATATCCATTCAAAATTTTTGTAAATTTTGCGCCATAGAAACAAAAATTTTCCTGATTTTTTTTTAACAATATGTTCTGGCACTATGAATATTTGAACAACTGCTAAAACTTTTTTCACAAACATAAACATTTTCTTTCTTGAACATCATTTGTAACTGAAAGCCAATAAACTTTTCTTGCTACTTTTGATCATTTAGTAGATGAATTTAATCTAATTAATAATAAAAAAAGGATTTTCCCTGATCATAATTATTGTTGTAAACTGCTTTATTATTAAGAGCAAGTTAGATTACAACTATTAATGCTTGAGACATTTTGTGTACGTTCTGTACTGTTGTTTAACTAACTTTTTATACATATATTTTTTCTTTTAACAATGAAATGTGAAAGCTAGTATCTGCATTGAATCTGTTGAGTATTATCAGATTTGTGGAAATTTTCAATAAAAGTTTGATCAAGCAGAATAAAAGCCTAAATATTTTACAGTTACAAGTATTAAGCTCATTGAAAATAATCTTATGTGGTTGTACAATGACATAATCTCAGCAAGCTCAGTGAAGTAATCTCAGTGAATTAATCTCAGCAAGCTCAGTGAGGTATTCATGGTAGTATAAAAAGTTTCTGATTCTGCTATTTCGAAAATTAGAATCGGTATCTGAAGATTGCATAAAATCTAAAAAGTAATTATTTAGTCAACTTTCTTTTATATAATTATATATTAATTATAAACAACTTTATATATAAAAAAGGTGCCTCAATGGTTAAAAATACTTTTGAATTGGTATGAAATATTTAGTAGTAAAAAAAAAAAAAAAAAAAAAAGGATAGATAATTTAATATAAACAAGTAATTAAAATTATATATACTAAATAAAAAATTGATAGAAAGAGATAATCTAATATAAACAAGTAGTATTAAAAGTAAGTAAATATAAGTAAAAGTGAAAGTAAGTAAATTAGCCATTTTATTTAGTTTATAAACAATTTACATTGAGTGTGCAACTATATTTTTTACTTTTTTAAATCAATTCAAAAATGAGGTTTTCGTCTTAAAAAGATATAAATTACTTATAGTCAATAAGTTGACTCAATAAGTCAACAACTTACTCATCATGGTAAAATTAAAACAAAAAAGTTGTAAATGCTATATTCTTAATCCAAAATATTTTAACCCTTTAGGAAGAATATAAGTAAAACTATATGAGAAACTACACTATATAACAAGCAACAATCTAGTGTATTAAGGTACACTTTATTTTATTATACAAGTAACAGCTTGTATTTGTAGAAACAACACTAGAAAAAAATTTAACGATTTATACCTATAATTTTCATTTACAACATTTGGACCTATAATTTTTCTCCATGTTTGAACAGCATCTTCATGAATAAGACATAGTGCTAAGGAGGGGCCACTACAAAAAAAGAATAATAAAAAAATATATACAACAATGCATTAACTAAAATAAAAGTAGATCTTTATTTTGCAGATTTTAAGTTTCTTTATAAACTTAGGTAAAGATATCCTATATAATGTTTAATAATTAAATAAATAAAATAATGTTTAATTATCATTCAACACATTCCAAAAATATCTTTATAATATAGCTTAAATTCAAATTTTTTTAAATTAAAAACCTTAGTTTTTAAGCAGTTACTAATATTTCCTATTTATGTAAATTCAAACTTACGATTCCCTTTTCAAACTAAAACACAATATTGTTTACAAATCTTCAGTAAATATAAAATTTTAAACAACTTTTTTTTTTTTTAATTATCTTTGCTTCCAACAAGGCTGCAAGCAACCACTAATTAGTGTTGGAAGTTATTGGAAGAGAAAAGATGAAGATTGTAGAGCAAGATAACGATTGACAGACGACTTAAAAGATTGCAAATTATATGAATCAGGAAAGCAAGATGAAGGAAGCGAATTCCAAAGAACTTATGTTCGAGGAAAAAAACTAGACGAATAAGAGTTTTTTGAGCACTTAGGAACAGTAACAGAAAAAGGATGAGACTTAATTGAATGACGAATAATACGAGAATGAGTTTTAGTAGATGGCACAAGAGACACTAGCTCTTTCGAGCAGTGCCCATTATAGTATTTGTAGAAAAGAGAAAGAGAAGCAACATTACGACGATGTGACAAAGGTTGAAGGTTGGCTGCAAGAGCAGGTCCAACTATGTTTACAATGCGTTTTTGCACCTTGTCTAAAAGAGAAAGGGCATCATTAGAAAATCCGCCCCAGATATGGCAACAGTATTCCACACAAGGCCGGATTTGAGATTTATAGCGATAGAGAATAGAATCCAAAGTAAGAGAGTGACAAGCTCGATAAAGAGAAGCAACTTTAGCAGATGCTAATTTTGCAACGGATTTGATATAAGGTTTCCAAGAAAGATCAGAAGTAAGAGTTAATCCTAGAAAATGAAGGGTAGGAAACTCATCGAGTACATTACCGTTCATAAATATAGGAAGGTCTAAACTATTGCGATAACGATTGGCCGAAAAAAATTGAGTTTTATCTGAATTAAAGTTCACCAGCCACTGTGAGCCCCATGCTGTAGCAGAAGTGAGATCCTTTTCAAGCTCAGATGCCCCCTGCAAGCAATCAGAGGGAGTTGGCTTTCTATCGTGACAAGAATAAATGGTAGTATCATCAGCGAACAATGCCACCTTAGATGTGAGACGATCTGGAAGATCGTTAATGTAAATTAAAAAGAGTATAAGGCCAAGGATTAAACCTTGAGAACCCCTGAGGTTACAGAATAAGAAGAAGAGTGCTGTCCATCAAGGACAACTTTTATACTACGATTGGAAAGAAAGGATTCAATAATCTTAAAGATGTTTCCAGATACACCGTAAGAAGAAAGCTTATGGAGGAGACCAGCATGCCAAACTTTATCAAACGCTTTAGAAATGTCAAGAGCAATGGCCTTAACCTCACCACCTTTATCTAATGCGCGATAAAACCTATCGGTTATTACTGATAGCAAATCAGCCGTAGAACTAGAAGATCGAAATCCATATTGATGATCAGAAAGTAGGTTATGAGATTCGAGATGAGAGATTAAGTGTTTGTTAATTAAAGATTCAAAAACCTTGCTTATGATAGGAAGAAGACTAATGGGTCGGTAGTTAGACGAATCGGATCGCTCTCCAGAATTTTTAAAAATAGGGATAACAGATGCTGCTTTCCAGCAGGCTGGAAAGCAAGACTCTGATAAGCACTTGTTGAATAGTTTTGTAAGGATAGACGACAGTTCCGGAGAACACTTCTGCAAGACTATAACAGGTATGTTGTCCGGGCCGCAAGCTGTAGAAGAGTCTAAGCGGGAAATCAATTTAGATATAAACGCTGCAGTGATACGAATGTCGAGCAATGGATCAACCTGTTTGACGGCTATATCAAGTAGAACGCAAATAATGGTATCAAGAGATGATATTTATGAAAAGTTCTTGGCAAACAATTCAGCTTTGTCTTTAGGTGAGGTGACAAAGTCTGAACCATACAAAAGAGGTGGAACTACAGACTTGCCCTTATTATTGATACTATCAAAGATTCTCCAGAAGTCACGAGAGCCTAATTTTTGTGATGAAATACGAGATTTCATGATCTGAGAGCCTTTTTACAATGGTTCCTAGCAGTAATAAACAGACGTAAGTTTTCTGGAGAATTGTTTTGCTGATAGATATGGAAGTAATGGTTTCGATTAGCAATTGCAGCAGCACAATGTGAGGAAAACCATGGAGAAGAGTGAGGCTTGACCTGGAATCGTCAAGAGGGAATAAAAGATTCCATGCCAGCCTGAATCCACGAAGTTATGCAAAAAGCACATTTGTCAACAGGGAGACGAAAGATTTCTACCCAGAGGCCATCACGAAGAAAATCAAGGAAAGAGTCCCAGTCAGCTTTAAGGTAGTTGTAAGATGTACAATGATAGGGGGGTTCTGATGGTAAAAAAGAATGAGATAATAGTTTTAGAGAGACCAAACCATGATCAGAAGCACCTAAGGGTGAGTGTGAAGAAACTGAGCAGTGACTAGGATCAGAAACAAGACATAAGTTGAGTAGAGAAGGTAAATGATTCGGGTTGTCTGGAAAGCGAGTTAAAAAGTTGACTATTTGAGTTAGGGATTGAGAAAGACAAAAGTTGTGGGCCTTAATGCCTGCGGAGTCACTGACACTAGAGCCAAGCCATTCAGTGTGATGAACATTAAAGTCACCGACAACAACAATATTGGCTGATGGATAAAGAATGAGGGCTTGGTCAATATAATCAGAAACTTATGCAGTTGTATTTACATATAATAATAATAATAATAATAATAATAATAATAATAATAATAATAATAATTTTTTTGTAAAACAAAATATTTAAATGTTTTATGTTATTTTAATAGATTTAAAGATTTTCTCTTTAAATGGAGAAAAAATTATTTTTTTAAAATTATTTTATAAAAATGTAATAAAAATAAGCAAAAATATTTACTTGTTTCAAAATTAAAAATTTTTTAATTATCATTTTGAAAAAAAACACAATGTATTTGATAGAGCACACTTATTTATTCATATTTTAAAAAAATCATAATGAAAAAAATGCATCATTATTTATTATATGTTTTTAATATTGTTTTTTTTGAGTCTTCAGCATTTTTTAAGATAATTTTTCTGTCAATAAATTTTAAGGAAAAATATTTGCGTTTTCTAAAATCTCTATGAAAATACACTTCTTTTGAGAACCAAGTTAACATACTTTTGAATTTTTTTTTTCTTCACATTATTAGGGATTTTACCCCAAATACTAAAGATTTGAACCCAAATATCTTTACATCTTGACGTGATGTTGAAAAATGAGTTGCATATTTGAAATCAAAATGAGAAATGCTATACAAAAAACAAATTGTTTGCTTGGCACCAGAAATATATATTTTTGTTGTTGACCTGTGCATGGCCTACTATATTACATGGCTGTGTATGTTACATTTTAGAGACCGATTCTAAGAGGCCTATTATAAATATAATATTACGAGTAGGAATATTATTAATAAAAAAGTATTAACGAAAAACTGGCATTTTTTGCTTAAATACTTGTGATTTATGAATTTATAAACATATATACCTATGTATATATATATATATATATATATATATATATATATATATATATATATATATATATATATATATATATATATATATATATATATATATATGTATATATATATATATATATATATATATATATATATATATATATATATGTATATATATATATATATATATATATATATATATATATATATATATATATATATATATATATATATATATATATATATATATATATATATATATATATATATATATATATATATATAATGTATCTATAATATATATTTTTATATATTTGTACATTCCACAATTAAATTGACAACACTGGGATTTTACAAAAAAAAAGGTTAAACTTTGTGTTTTTTTATGTTATTATCTATTTATGTTTTATTTTTTTCTCCTTTTTTTTAAAGTATTATTTTTCTCTCTGTCTACTTTTAAAACTTTAACCAGCATTTTTTCGGACAGTGGCATTGATTATTTTCTGCTTATTGTTAAAAAAGACATTAGTTATAATTTTAGAAGCAAATTTGAACCCCCATTCTTTGTGTAAATCGCAAGTAAAGCAAACTGTTGGAAAGTATTTTGATAAAACAAAGCTTGATACATCTTTGACATTAGCACCTTGTTTAGTTATTAAATTTGAAAGATTATCTAAGACTGCAAATCATCAACATGTGAATTCCTTAAGTGAAAGTGAAGGCACAGTAAGACCACCTCGTGAAAGTATTAGTAGATATGAGCAAATATTTATATTGCTTGCATCTGTAGCAAGCATAGACTTTTAATCGCTACATTTGCTTCTTTTTAAATCTAATGTTATAAGTAATTCATCATTAATTGGATTATCATAATTGTTCTTTAAATCTTCATCCCAAAAATTTACATTCTCCCTAATTAAAGTCTGGCATGCGAAAATAATCTCTGAATGTTGAACTTCTAGTAAACTTACTTGAAATCTTCCACCACTCATCTGTCGCTATTGAGAAAATCTACGCTCTATAGGGTCACTTTGAAGTCGTGAAGTAAGCACATACAAATATCCTTCTTCTATAAGCTCGTCTATAAGCATTGCTTGAGAACGTAGAGTTGTGATAAGAGCAGATGATGTTTGTTTAGATAAGGTAAAAAATAGAGATTTCTGCCAAAGTTCAATCCAATCAGCTAGTTGCCTAAAAAATGTAGTTTTACCATCATCAAAAATAATTGCATTACCAAGTTAATTTGACTAAATTGTTGCTTTGAATTTGAAACAGTCCACCATTTTTGAAAAATACCTAAAAAACCAGAAATGTCATTTCTTTCAGGAAAATAACTTTTAAAACTTGCAATTGTTGTTTCATCGAAAATCGACAGTGCAAGAGAAATATTTTGCTTTTTTTTACCAGGGTGAAGAGTTTGATATGTAATTTTTGGAGCTTTTTTCAAATTATCTTGAAATCGTTCATCTTTAGAATGTAGAAGATGAAAATCTCCCCAAGTTATATAACCAGCTGGACAATTATAGCTGGACATCATCTTTTATATTATAAGTAAATGATGGAAAGACAAATTTTTTGCAGTGTAATAAATTATTTCTGATATTTTTAACAATATGAACACTATCATAAAATAAGTATATTTTAATATTTGGACTATCAGGATGATAAATAAATTTGACTGATTACCAAATTTCAAATAAAGCAAATTAAATGCATTTACATTTGCTTGATGATTGTCAGTAACAACTCCTCCAATTTTAAAACCAGATAAAGAAAGAGAACTAATAGAATCTGATATTTGCTCTGAAAGCCATTTACCACTAATGGCAATTTAGGGCACTGCTTTTATGACATAAGGAATAAATTTCTTTAAACTAAAAATCATAAATGCAACAACTCCTTTGTACAGAGTACCATTATCATCTGCACCCACATAGACACCACTACAATATTGTGCCTGTTTCTGAAGATAAAACTCATCTACAAGGCTGTTAAGACACTTTGTGTCTTAACAGCTTTTACTGCATCAACTCCACCTTGTTTAATTTTATTTAATAAAGAAATTGAAGGTTATGGAAACAATTCAAGTAAAATTTCATATGCTTGTTTAGATGTATATCTTAATAAAAAGCGTGTCTGATCATATCTGCAGAATATTGTGGTTGACCTTTTGCTTTATAGTATTAGAAGAAGCTATGTTTTTTATATACCATGCAAGATTTTCTAACATACTCAAACTAGTTAACTTGCCATTATGACCTTTATTTAACCATGGAGGGAGTGGAACATTATTTCCTTTGTATTGCAAAGCTACACATAAACAATGATCAATTTTTATTGATTCAAGAACAGAAGGAAAATGCGTTAAAGAATCAAATATTAAATTGTAATAAATAACATGTTTTTTAAATTGAAAACCTTCTGGTGAATGTTTACTGTTTAACTTGCTCCATTCAGTTATTTTATCATTTTCAGAAAAAAAAACTAAGTTCATCTTCTTGAAAAATACGAGTTTTAGATGGTCTTCTTAAAGCAATAGGTTATGGTAGTGTGGAAGGCCGTTTTAAGCATTCGCTTGAGAAAATTTCAGGAATAGGGTTTAAATTCCAATTTAACTTGCTTTTTACACCTCGAATAATGTACTTTTCATTAAAATGCTTTTCACATAAGACAGAAATTTGGTGAAGGCACCCAATCACTACGGTTTACAAAATGAACCCAATAATATAGCAACTGTTGATTTTTCAACGGAAAATGAAAAGAAGCAACCAAACCCTCAGTCGATGTAGCAGCACTCTTTTGTGAGTCAGGCTATTTGTCAGTCGTTGTAGCAGCACTTCCTTGCGAGTCAGGCTATTTGTCAGTCGATGTAGCAGCATTCCCTTGCGAGTCAGGCTATTTGTCAGTCGATGTAGCAGCACTCCGTTGCGAGTCAGGCTATTTGTCAGTCGATGTAGCAGCACTCTGTTGCGAGTCAGGCTATTTGTCAGTCGATGTAGCAGCACTCCGTTGCGAGTCAGGCAATAAGATAGTCGATGTAGCAACATTTACGCATGTTTTAAAAATGTTTTTTATTAAATCAATAACAAAAACACCACTAATTAAAAAAAACTTTCTAGTCGTTATAATTGCGGTTTTTTAAAAATTTTTTAAAAAACAATTAAATTTAATGCACTTCCGCATAAATTAATTGCTTTGACATTTCGATGACAATCAAAAACAGCTTAAGAGACGAGGTAATTAAAATTGTAGTCGTAAGAGACTTTTTTTACATTAAAACGCTCTTTCGACTACACTATATGGGTATATATATATATATATATATATATATATATATATATATATATATATATATATATATATATATATATATATATATATATATATATATATATATATATATATATATATATATATATATATATATATATATATATATATATATATATATATATATATAAATCCATATTTTTAATTTTTTTTTGATATTGGATTTTAATATAAACACATATATTTAATGTTTTTTTAATATTGCACTGTCATTATTTTGTTGCGTAAATAGACCTCTTAAAATCGACCTCTAAAATGTAACATACACGGCCATGAATATAGTAGGCCATGACCTGTGTAATTACAAAAATTGAATAACAATTATACAAATTATATAAATATAAATTATGTCTACATAATTATAGAAAGTATACTGATAAAATAAAACTGCTAAATTCGTTATTTTTTCTTTTGAAATTGAGTATAACTAAATAATAATAAATTATTTTTAAAAATTTGATACAAAATTTGAATTAATGACTTGTTAAATTTTTTGTTAAAATCTATTGGTGACTTTAATGTCTTCACAATGAATGCATTGGGTCTAGCACCATTAACTTTGTTGAATCACTTGTTGTCTAGAAAACCCACTTCTTGGCTTGTTTATTTATGTCTAGGCTCTGTCCCTAGCCTGTGCTTAGTCTCTCCTTGCTTTTTTTTAGGTGATTCAGACCATGCTATGATCTTACTAAAACTCGTTCTTTTCATCAGATTCACTTTATTATGAAACTTCTTTGTACTACCTTGATGATGGTCCTTGATGTCTCTGCTGAAAACTTTATAATCTCCTGCATTTAGTGTGATGAGCATTCAAGTTATCATTGTCCTGGTTTCAGGCCAGCATAGAAGCTTTTAAATCTTTTCATCAACTTTCAGCCCTTACTCTACTCCAACGTTTGCTCCTCCTTATGCATAAGCATTTTTTATTTGTAATCAATATTTGTAAATATGAAAGATAGTCATAAATAAGGTTAACAAAATTTCATATTAGCAAATGAATTAACTTTCAGTTAACTCGTTAAAATGAAATTAACAGTTTTTTAATTTTAACTTTCAAGTTAAAATTGAAACTGTTAAAAATGCCATATTTTTAGCAACCAGTAAAATCACGATATTAATGAGACTCATACTTCTAACAACCAGTAAAATCATGGTAATAATGAGACTCATACATCTAACAACCATTAAAATCATGGTATTAATGAGACTTCTAACAACCAGTAAAATCATGGGATTAATGAGACTCATACTTTCAAAAACTTAAATAGTCGAAGATTAAATACTTTATCCAAAATATTCAAGATAAAGTTATAGGATGTTTTAGAATTTTTCTGTTGAACAACGTTATTAATTGGAATTTTTTTTTAACATATTATATTATTAAAAAATTAGACCAATTTCAAATTTTTTTTGCAAATTGAATAAATTAGCAATCGATAATTGCATTTTACCAATTTCAACTATTAACACAGTTTTCAAAGTATGGGCTGCACGATACAAAATAATAAACTTTTTTTATCATTAGTAAGTTACAAGTCATCTATGTTTTGTAACCTACTAAATAATTTTTAATTCTAAGTGTTTTTATCTAGTTTTAAAAAAAGATGTTTGACTTCCAGAAAAACTTTATTTTAAACATTATTCAACAATGTTGTGAACATAACCTAACAATTTCATTGAGACAGAAAGTAAGTAAAAAATGGTTCAAATTTATATTAAACAAATTTAAATGTGAACCATTATTAAATCTCCAGCCTGAGAAAACACAATGCTCTATTAGTTTATTAATATCAACATTACTATTATATTATCATTATTATAATTATTATTATTAATAATATTATTATTATTTTTATTATTGTTATCATTGCTATTATTATTATTATTATTATTATTGTTATTATTGTTATTATTGTTATTATTATTATTATTATTATAATTATTATTATTAGGAAGTATTGAAAAGAGTATAATAAACATTAAATTCAACATAAAGAATTATTGAAAATAAATTACGTTATTAAGCGCATTTTTTGTATTAAAACTAATATAATGTACGAGTTTTAGGTGGTCTTCTTAAAGCAATCGGTTAAGTCTACTTTGTAGACCCTACATGATTAGTTGAGTCAAAAATAAAATACCTTGTCATGGTGTCAATAAGATTTTGAAAATATTCTTTATCTTTATGTTTAAAATAAAACTGCTCTGCTTGATCTCGTGTGAACTCAATCTCCTTCTGCATTGCAATTGTAAATCCAGAATCTTTTATATGATTAAGAATTGATATCTTATGTTTTTTATAAGCGTTTGGGCGAATAATTGCTAATGTTCTTTTTATACTGGCAGAGGCATTATGAATAGAAGCTTGTAAAATAGGATCTTGTGGAAGAGGTACTTGTAAAAGAGGAGCTTGTTGGACAGAGTTTTGTGGAAGAGGAGCTTGTAAAAAATCAAATCCAGGAAAGAAAAATTCCAACTCTCTAGAAGCACTTTCATGGGAGTCAGAGCAATGAATTGCATCTTGAACCATATCAGTTCCATATCTTGCACGCAAACTAAATGAAATTAAAACAATTTTAAGTTTTATGATTGCGTGACTTGTAAATAATTAAATAACTATTTATGTAAAATAATTATGTAATATACTGTAAATAGTATGCTTATGTAAATAAATATAAAATCCCACTCAAACCAATTAAACATAAATTTTGTAGACTTTGGCCAAGTAGAATTTTTGAAAAAAACTAAATTTTTTTTCAAAAATTCTACTTGGCCAAAGAGATATGATGAGTGTTGGGTGCTTATCTCCAAAGTTATATACATAATTTCTACACCCACAACAAAAAGGTTGAACATACAACATATTATGCGGTAGTGGTGTAGTGGTAGAGCGCTCGCTTCATAAACGAGTGGTTCTGAGTTTGTTCCCTACCACGTCCCTGGTAGTACCGCGCTCAACTCGTTTCTCCGCGCAGCGGCCTTGTTCGTCAAGGTTCGTGTTTCGGAGTTATAGAGTTGAGAGAGGGTTATAGCCACAAATAAGTAGCCTCCTCGTCTGTAATGGCCTTCTCGGCCTTGAGGAGGTGAATTAAAATAAAAATGAAAAAAAAAATAAAAATTTGATTTAGATTTAAAGAATATAAGCAGTTAATTACAAAAAAAAAAATGAAAAAATAAATTAACTAAGATTTAAAATAATGTTGTTGTAATTTTATTTACAATTTTTTGTAATTTAGTATTTGTTTGTTTGTTTCTTTTTTCTTTTCAAAATCAAGTAGGGGTTGTGGGAGAAGTTTAGAGGAGAAGTCTATTTGGGTTCAAAAATCCTCAAATATTATCATCAGAAAAATTCTTAAAACTATTATTAAGACATTGTAAGTTTAAGTTGATTTGTTGTTCCTTCAGCACAGATGTTTCAAGGTGAGCACACAGCTTCTTGTTTTTTTTTGGAAAAGCTTCTTAAATGGGGTGCCACTAAAACTTATGAAACTTTTAAAATATTAGAGATAATTATATTTTAAGCTTATTTAAAAAAAATTATTTAAACCTATCTATAATTTCCAACAAACGCATAGATTAATTCATTTTCAATAAATTCATGCAACTCTTTATCAAAAAGAATCTGAAAATATATTTTTGATATTTATTATTTGATATTAACACAGTGAAATTTAAAAGCTAACAAAACTTTACTACTACCTAATGTTAAACTTAACTTTAGTTTAATGTGAACGTATTCAAAAATAAATAGTCAGTCTAATTTTAATTGCCTAAAACAATTAGAGATTATTTTTTGGCGACTATAGACATTTTTAAATATTTCTTATATTTAAGTTTTTCTTACATTTTTATAGATTTTTTCATTTATTAATTTTTTGGTGCATATTAATTGTAAAATGAGAAATGATTTAATAGCAACAAACTGCAATGCTTATCATGTTTACTCTGTGTATAAATTTACCAATATATATGCATTAAAAACTTCTTATACAAAAAACACTAAGATGACATAAAATTCAGATTAATTAGACACTCATAGATAAGTGTTTTCAAATTTCAACTTCCAAGCATGAGAATAAGTTAGGCAATTTCAGTTGGCCCCAAAAAATATATAATATATAAAAAATTTAAAATTAAAGTTTTTTTTTTTTAATTAAAAAAAAAGAACAGTTATTTTAAATTTAACTATAAATATTATTATGCAGTATAGTTTTTTTTTTGTGTGTGTGGATAAACCTGTTATGTAATGCTTCACAGGTTAATCCTGAATTTTGATTGGCTTGAAACATCCATGTTAGACAACCATAAAAAAATGCTAAATCAGCATTATTTCAATTGATAATATCCCATGTATATTTTTAGCTAAAATATTTGCAGTTATCATTTATTTAATATGGACTGCAAATGATTTAAAAATAACAACTATGTATTGGAGCAAATTTTGACTTGCCGCTCCATGAAATGTAACTCCATTGTTCTGCTGTTTACTTTATGAACATAAGCAAATTTAAACATAGATTTTCCATTTCTTTTTCTGAAATAAACATTTTTTTTTGCAGCTCTGTAAACTAGATAGTTCTGCTATACTCAGTACTTTCTGAAACATTTTCAGTTACAACTTGAGCAGTAACTAATGGATATTTTTTTCACTAATTTCATTGATCTATTTTCAGTTATTTTTTGATGTTTTAAGGGGATGACCTTTATTGTGATTTGTTTTTAATGAAGCTCTGACTTTATATCTTTTTTTATTTTTTATTTATTTAGATGCTCCAAGAAGACCTAACGGATTTCTCACAGAACACAGTAGAAGTGCATTTAACCAGAAAGTTCATGCCTTTAAAGTAAAATCATCAATTACTTTTTGTTTAAATAAGGTTTAAATTTTTGTTTAAATCAACTTGTTTCTCCGTGCAGCGGCCTTGTTTGTCAAGGTTCGTGTTTCAGAGTTATAGAGTTGAGAGAGGGTTATAACCACTATTAAGTAGCCTCCTCGTCTGTAGTGGCCTTCTCAGAGGTAAATAACAAAAAAAAAGGGTTTTATATTTATTTCTGGCTATTATTCAATCCTCAAATGTTACATCTGTATATCAAAGTTAATTGTTATTTTAAAATGATAAAATTTCTTCTATTGAAGAAATTTCTTTTTCAGAATAAAAACATTACATGTTAAAAAGACTTTAAATTCAGAACAAGATATGATTGTATGTTAAGGATAATTTTTACAAAGTTCTAAAATTTTTATGAAAATTTTTTAAATAAACATATATTAAAAAATTGTCATTGTGTAAAATCTCTTTATTTCTTTTAATAAAATAATGCAGTTTTAAGTGATTTATGTTTTGAAAACTAAACTTTTATATATAAATATATATAAGATTATTTTGTACAGCAAAACAACACTATTAAAAAAATATTTTTTAATAGTGTTGGTGGAAATTTTTAATAGTGTAAAGAGTCATGTAATAGCCTTTACACTATTAAAAAAAATATTTTTTAATAGTGTAAAGGGTATTACATGACTCTATAAAACTCAATGGGTCCCAAATCAAATTAAAAATATACACATATATATATATATATAAATATATATATATATATATATATATATATATATATATATATATATATATATATATATATATATATATATATGCGTATATATATATATATATATACGCGTATATATATATATATATATATATATATATGCGTATATATACATATGCGTATATATATATATATATGCGTATATATATATATGCGTATATATATATATATATATATATATATATATATATATATAAAAATATATATATATATATATATATACTCGAATAAATATATATATGTGCGTATATATATGCACGTATATATATATATATATATATATATATATATATATATATATATATATATATATATATATATATATATATATATATATATTCTTGTTTGCTGTTAATATATTATTTATTAATATTGTAATTATGTGTAACTGTTATTTATTATATACATTTAATTGTATAAAAATATTTTGAAAAACCTGTTTGGTGCACTCATTTTTGCAAGACTAATCTCTGTTGGACCAATCAGATTAAGAAATTCGGATAAATAATTTTGATCAACTTCATTACCAGGTTTTGAAATCACTAAGATTACGCAAGGCCCACTAAAAAGAACATTTTTAAAAATCTGAACATTTATTTTTAAATTTGAAATTCAAAAATCTGAAAATTTAAAAAACATTGTTTAAAAAATCTCTTAGAAAAACAAATAAAAGGGTTTCTGATAGAATCAGACAGATTCTGGAGTTCTTGAGTTTTTATGTGTACTCTGTCAGATTCAGGAGTAATAGAAAAAAAATATATATATAAAAAAAATAAAGTGTTTAAAGATATACATGCCTCAGCAACCCTAATTGAATATTAAAATACAACCACTAAAAAAAAAAAAAATCTATAAAATAAAAGATTTACACAAAAAAGTCTTACCTTGACATAAACTCCACTAAATTGTCATAGTCGTCGTTCATTTCTTTTTTTTTGTAAAAATCAGCAGCCATTTCTTTTGTCAACAACATTTCCTCTTGCTTTAGTATTTCAAACCCAGTGTCTAGAATCTGGAAAAATATTTTTCAAAAACTGTGAAATCTAAATCAAAACTTAACAAATTATAAGAAAAACAAAAGTATTTAAAATTAACACAGTGATTATAAGATTTCACAGAAATTTTTATCCTTATATTTGAGATAAAAATTGTATTGGTAAATGTTTTTTAAACATTTTAAAGTTATAGACAACAAAAAATCATAGTGTATTTTAACAAAACATAATACGATGGATACAGAATGTATTTATTATCCAAAGCCCAGCAATAGCCAAAGAGGCTACAATTTAAAAAATAAAATCCGTTACTAACATTAACAGAAAAAGATTACTAATTACTAATTACTAAATACAATTACTAAGATTAACTCCTGAAATTTGGTCAAATTGAAAATCACAGGAAAAATTTTTTGAAAATCTTGTAATGATGTTCAAAAATAAAAAAGCATACTTGCTAAACTATTGTTTAAGAAAAGATAACCTTTTAAAATTAGTGATAAACAGAAAAATGTTGAACTTTACACATCTAAAAAATCACATGGTACTGAATCCTAGAAATTTTTTCCTTGTTTCTTTGACTTTGTTTCTTTGTGCATAAATAATTAAAAAAACGTGTGAAAAAGCACACATTTGTTCTAACACATCTGAGTTTTAAAAGTTGAATCTTTATCACAAAGTTGGATTAAGTTGGATAAGTTCTGTAAATCAAGGCTAAATTTGTGCAATTTAGTCTTGATTTACAGACTATTCACTTATTTAACAGACAATTATCAGACAGTTCACTTATTTAACAGACAATTATCAGACAGTTCACTTATTTAACAGACAATAATCAGACAGTTCACTTATTTAACAGACAATTATCAGACAGTTCACTTATTTAACACAATTTTCAGACAGTTCACTTATTTAACAAACAATTATCAGACAGTTCACTTATTTAACAGACAATTATCAGACAGTTCACTTATTTAACAAACAATTATCAGACAGTTCACTTATTTAACAGACAATTATCAGACAGTTCACTTATTTAACAGACAATTATCAGACAGTTCACTTATTTAACAAACAATTATCAGACAGTTCACTTATTTAACAGACAATTAGACAATTCTCTCATCAAAAACTTAACAAAAATTGAACCAGTTTGCTATAAAGATATTACAAAATAAAAATGTTAGTTGCATCATTTCTAACTTCAACATAACCAAGAACCAAATAATTATTTTTTCATTAAGTATGATCATGATTGTCTATGATAGAAATCAAACAATCCTCAATTAATAAGTAAAATACTTAATGGTTATGGGTTGTAATACTGTAGAGGGAGGCAGTAAAAAAATTAAAAAAACTTTTATAAACTTGATGAATCATAAGAAAAATGCAAAAATGAAACTAAATCTTGACTTCTCCATTTCTCTTTCTTCAGCTTCTTTAGCAAAAGATAGCATAATCATCCCAAAATCTCATGTGATGGATTTACAAGAACTATAAAAAAAGAAGCATCAAAAGCCAACAAATAGCAAGTACAAATCCATATTTATATAGGTTAAAAACAATGTAAAATGTGTTAACATATTTTTCATGACAAATGTAAATGTTAACAACTATGAAACTTCTTTCAACTTTAATAACAATATAAGAAAATAAACACATGAAGCGACCATTGTTTGTAGCGGATAAAGAACAAATTTATGTCATGATAATGTTATTTAGGTCTAGCCTTTATGATTTGTGATGAAAACCAAAATGCTTAACTCATACGTAAAAACAAACTAAATTTAAAATAGACAAAAAATACCTAATCAAATTCGTAATTTGTTCTGTTTGACAAAGTTATTTGTCTTGTGTCAAATAAGTGCGCAAGCAGCTAAGGGTAGAAAGTATGAAACTATTATGTAATATGAATTAGATATAAACAAATTTATGATACTTCAAGTGAACCTTTTTTTCTCTTCTCATTCTTTAAAAATTAATTTGAAAAACATCAAATTCATAAATTTGTGAGATTAGTTTGAGCACGAGTCTTTTATATTATTATACTTGTCTAAATATATAACAGGTACGATGTTTCAAAATTTGTTTCGATTTTTATTTCTTAAGTTTACATAATAATAATAAAAAAACGTTGCTCAAGTGTTAAATTCATTTTGAACACACAATTTTTCTTAATGCCACATGCAAGCACTGGTGAATTTTATCTAATTTTGCCTATCAAAGTTAAACGAAGTCAAATAGTGAATATACAATAAACTTCCGTACTGAAGTTTAACAAATTATTATTTGCTTTTCACTATTTGTTTAATGAAAACACTATTCATTTGTGCTTAGCCACAAGTGGTTACCTATGCACAAAAAAAAAAATTTGGTACTGTCAGTCTTTAGATCAGGAATTGAGATGCAAAGCTTAAAAAAACACTCATTTTGCAAAACTCAGCAACTTTAAGAAATATAACTCCATAATAAAACTGTTAATAACAAATCTAAATATATTTTATTTATATTTTTTTAGTAGTAATAATTTAGTAGTAGTTAATAATTTAATAGTATATTCTAGTTTTGGCTTAATTTTTAGAACAATATCTTAGGTTTGTTTAAGAAAATTTTATATAATTCTAATTTCATTTTATTTTAGTTCTTATTTCTTATTTGTGGTGTATGAGTGTATAACAGGGTGTTTTGGGGTGTATGATTGTATTTTAGTTCTTATTTCTTTTTTGGGGTGTATGAGTGTATAAGCATGTAGTTTACAATGGTATACTAATTTTTTAAGAATTTAATGTCTAAACATGTTTAAATGATAAATAGCATTTATTTTTTAACATTTTAAGTCTTTAAAATTGATCAATAACTTCTGCTCTTTAAGTGTCCCATTTTGCTCCACCCGCTTGCAAATTGTAAAATTTTTGCTAGTCTAGATTTTTGTTACTTTGGTTGTCGCAGCTTATTTTTAGAAATTATTTGTTTTTTCTGTTTCTTATACCAATGAAATTTAAAAAATTTATAAAGAACAGTGTTAACTATGATTAGTTTATATGCAATTATTTCTAAAGTGTCTCTATATGTCTTGCTCTACCCTAAACCAATATTAAAACTTTAATTTTTTAAGTTTTAAATTATGCTACAGTGGTTTTCATAAATTTAGACGCACTCATATTTGAGAATAGAAAATTTTAGGTATTTTAACGATAAAACAATGACGAAAAAAGATTTCGGTTTGGTTTTTTTTCTATTTATCAGATAAATACATACAGAATACAAAATTTAAAAAAAGTTTACAAAAAAAATGAAATACTAAGTAATAATTAGGTACAACTACATGGTATTAAAAAAATCAGACAAAAAAAAATATTCATAAATTTAGACGCACGATACATTAGAAGGCGTAATTTATGAACCAATCAATATTTTGTGTATCCGCCTTTTGCTTTAATACAACTAAGAATTCTTCTAGGCATAGACTCAACAAGATTTTTGCACATCGCTTCTGGGACCCCATACCAGGTCTCCTTAAGGAATTCCTTCAGCTGACCAAGTGTGGAAATTTGAACCTTTGCTAATTCACGATCAATCCAAGCCCAAATGTTTTCAATCGGGTTCAAATCAGGTGAATATGGAGGCCACGGTATTGTCATAATATTATTATCGTTGAACCACTCCTTTGTATAGTATGCAGTATGTGCAGTAGCACTATCTTGTTGAAGTTTTCATGGTTTATCATTGAGCATAAGCAGGTCAATTGATGGAATTAGGTTGTTTTCCAGTACTTCTACGTATATTCTGGAGTTGATTCTTCCGGTGTATGTTTGGCACATACCAACACCTTTGTAATTGAAGCATGACCAGATTCCTATCAAGCCTCCTTCACTTTGTACAGTTGGTCTAATGTACCTGGCGTAATACTTTTCGTGAGCCATTCTTTTGACTGTTATGTTAGATTTGCGATTGATAAGCTCAAAGTTACTCTAATCACTCCACATAATGTTTTCCCATTGATCTATTGTCCAATACCTTCTTTCACGACACCATTTTAGTCTCCTTTGTTTATCATATAGACGCAGAAGCGGTTTCTTCAAAGCAGTGTAGGCTCCAATCTTGTATTTGATAAGTATTTGACGGACTGTGCTTTGAGAAATAGATGTATTTCGCGTTGTATTGAATTCTGTGGTCAATTTTTTGTAACTAATTCTTGGATTAGCTCTGACAGCTCTAAAAAGAACACTATTGTCCTTTCTCGTGGTTGACAAGGGTCTACCTGGCCTCGTTTTCTCGCTGGCACCACCAGTGTGAAGAAAGTTTTGTTTCGTTGTCCGAACGCATTTCTCAGAAACTCCAATTAACTTGGCGATTTCTCTATTACTTTTGGTTCCTTCTTTGATGTGCGCAATAACTTGCCACCTTTCACCTTGAGTGATACGTCTTTTGCCCATTTTTTACGTTTTTTTAGTGCAAAACTAACTTAACTTTTGTTTATTTATTAAATAATGATTAAATAAATCCAGGTAAGTCATATTTATATAAGGTTTTTTGACAAAATCAATTAATTTAGGCCTATTAATGAGAAATATAAGAAAAAAACTACTAATTATACTAATAAAAACTATACTAACTAATAACTAACTAATAAAAAACTATACTAATAAAAAACTATACTAATTAACTATCAATTAACAAGATATAAGACTTTTTTAATTGCGCGTCTAAATTTATGAACAAAATAAAATCAAGTTTATCAATTAACTTTTTTGTGTTAATCGGTATAAAATGAGTAATAAATATCCTGTAAAAAAAACTAAGGTACTCTATAATAGAGTTTCATTTCCTCTTTTAAATTATATATCAAACATAGCGGTAGCACTTTTATTTTATTTTTATTTTGAGTATTTTCTTACATATATGAAAAAAAAAAAAATGAATGCGCCTAAATTTATGAAAGCTACTGTATTTATGCTTTATAAAAATAGTATAAGTCGTATTGCATGGCCGTTATAAAACCATTCAAGTTTTTTAAAATACTTTATTTATACTGTTTTGTGTGATCTTTTTGAGTACCAATCCAGTATTGATGTTGTTAACTTGTGTCTTTGTTTTATATAAAATTCAATTTATTCATGATGACGACATATCAAAAACTTATATCACACTGTAATATGAAGTAATGTGTCAAAGGTTTTTTGTATTTTTGGATCCTTGTACTCAAACATCATCTACTATGGCATATATATAGATCAGCAATTACTCATTTTGCTCAATATTATCAAACAATAGAATTTAAACAAGTATGACTTAAAAGTGTCAAATATTTCGATCAACAAACCTCTTTTATAATACTTTTTAACACACCAGCTCTTATAGCATCAGGTTTGATAATAACTATCAGAATTCGTTTTGCAATTGCAAGTGGTACTTCTAAAGCATTTTAAATAAAAAATATTTCAATTATATAAAATTTGTAAAAACAATTAATTTAATATTATTTTTAATAGACTTTAAAACAATTTACAACCTTCAACTTTCAAAAGTCTTCTGGACATACTTTTAGCTTAAAAAAAAAAGTTTAATTTTTAGTATTAAGTGGAAAATTATAAAAACCATTAATAATGAAAAAAAAGATAGCTGCTTATCCCAAACCTTCAGTTGATGTAGCAGCACTCATTTGCGGCTGCAGACTATAAGATATTTGATGTATGTACTAAAGCTGACAGCAGCAGGCTATTTTAGTGTGACATCAGCCCTCTAAATTAGGGTTGATATTCGGCAATATTGCTGAATATCAACCCTAATTCAGCTAACTGGCAACCTCAAAGTGCTTGAGGTCGGCAAAAAATTATTGACCTTATTTTTATGTTTTATGGTAACCGCTTTGTGTCAAAAAATTTTTGCCGACCTGATGCCGATCTTCCAATCTATGTTATATATACACATATATAAGGGCCCTGCAAATCCACATTTTCAGTTTGCAATCAAATTTTGAATCAAAGCAGTGCTTGATTTACAATTGAACATCAAACTGAATCTCTAGTTTAAGGAAAATCATATTTAAGTTTTTTTATCTCTATTTTCTTACGATATACAGTTACACAATTAGAATATTATTCGAAGAAACTTTATTTATTACTTTCAGCCCAATTAACCGTTTCGCGTTTTGCTTGAAAAGACTATTGTGTTTACTGTTGATGACTGTTCTACTCATAAACTCCACACAAAGTTGGAGTTTATGAGCAGAACAGCCTAGCCAATCTATTCCAAGAAGTTTAAGTGTGCATAGCATACTAGAAGTAAGGTTATTTGTAAATCATAAAATATTATCTGAAGTTCAGACAAATTGCGACAGCAAGTTTATTATAATTTCTTAAGTCAAAGTAGTTTTTTGACAAGATTATTTCCAGGTTTACATCTGATAAACAGCATGATTCTAAAACCCAAGAGGATAAAATGTAGTGACATGTAGAAACAAGAAAGTTATCGCTATTGTCAGCCTTAAAATGATTAAAAGTGATGCTAGTATTGGAGATAAACTGCTATTTTATACTTTGTATAGCTATTTTATACTTTGGAAGTTATTATATAGATCATCCACTATATCACCCAAATTTTGAGATAAAGTGGTTGTGTGTGGTGGATGATATTGCCCTTGAGTAAATACCAAGCACAAATTGATAAAGCCAGATCCGAAAGATGTCTCAAATGATTTTCCATATTCAATTATAAATCTAAGCACTGCATGATCATACTTTTTTTTAATAACTGTATCTATTTGAGGTCCAAATAAACGTGAGTTTAATGAAGAGCCTAATGGTTTTTTTGATTATGCAATAAATGGTTCCAATAAAGTTTTCTGAACAAAATACTTTAAATTGTAATTTTTCTGTTTGGATTGCCAGAATGTTCCTTTTTTTATCAAAGAATTCTTTAACTATCAATTTTTTGGTAGTCATTTTTTTGCTTGAAGTGAAATAATTAACAGTTTTTTTATTTTCAGTTTGTAGCATTTTTAGCAAAATTGTAGCAAAATTAACTTAAAGTGAAAGCAAAATCAAAAAGTACCCAAGCAAAATTATAGATGTTTAAGTAATTTTTTTTTTTTTTTTGTTATTCACCTCCTCAAGGCCGAGAAGGCCACTACAGGAGGCTACTTAATAGTGGTTATAACCCTCTCTCAACTCTATAACTCCAAAACACGAACCTTGACAAACAAGGCCGCTGCGCGGAGAAACAAGTTGAGCGCGGTACTACCAGGGACGTGGTGGGGATCGAACTCCAAACCTCTCGCTTATGAAGCGAGTGTTTTACTACTACACCACTACACCACTACCGCATTAAAACAGTTTATGCGTTACTGATATGTGCTCAGCTCTGTTTAAATCTCTAAGTGGCAATTAATTTTATTCAGTTACGCTAAAATTTTCTTTACCACTGAATTTGCTGATATATGTTAGTATTTAAACAACTTTTTAATCCCATATGTATGAAAACAAACAACAATAAAAAACAAAGAAATGATTGGAAAAATTATTTTTTTCAAATCAAATCTTTAACTGAAGCAGCTATTGATTCGCAGAGCCTTAATATATATATATATATATATATATATATATATATATATATATATATATATATATATATATATATATATATATATCAATCCTCACAATTAGTAAAAATGAAATTAGCAATTTATTGTTGACTTAAAACTGTCAAAGGTTGGCAAAAAAAATTTGATACAAAAGGGTTACTATAAAACATAGAAATGAGGCAATGAGCTGCAATGAGGTCTGCAATTTTTTGCCGACCTCAAACACTTTTAGGTCAGCAGTTACGTTGGCATTGCCAAATGCCAACTCTAATTCCGAGGATTATATATATATATATATATATATATATATATATATATATATATATATATATATATATATATATATATATATATATATATAATTTTTTACAAAGTATTCTCATTTAATATAAGTACAAATATACCGAAAATTAAAGATTACTCTGTCTGAAAGTTATCTTTCTTAACCATCAAGAAAAACTGCCGGGACCCTTGTATTTCTATGGTATTTTTCATTACAAAATCTAGCCAGTTAAATGAATTATAAATAAGCTATTAAAATATATTATATTATTTTCAGTGTTAAACTTAGAGATGAACCTAGGGGAATTTTGAAATTTTTTTTTTTTTAAATTTATTTGATAGACTGCCTGCCCAAACAAAACCCTCAGTCGATGTAGCAACACTCCCTCGCAAGTCAAGCTATTTGTCAGTCGATGTAGCAGCACTCTGTTGAGAGTCAGGCTATAAGATAGTTGAGCAACACTCTGTACATGTTTAACAGTTAAAAATAAAAACATTCAGAATGTTTTTAAAAACATTTAAATGTTTTTAAAAACATTTAAAAAGTTTTTAAAAACATTTAAAAAGTTTTTAAAAACATTTAAAAAGTTTTTAAAAACATTTAAAAAATTTTTTAAATGCCTTATGAGTTTGAATTAAAATATAATTCAAGCAAGGAAAACACTATCAACAACAAATAAGAAAAATTGACTGTACAGTAATTATGAAGATCAAATTTTTTAAAAACTCAAAAAAATCTAACATATTAGCACATTTTTAACAGAATAAAATTTTTATTTAGAGTGAAACTGATTTAATATATTTTTTTAATGCACTTTGTTAATTAATAAACAGTAAAAAAATAGATAACTCAAAAACCAATCAAAAATCTTTTTTTTAATTTTTATCTACTTTGTTATAAAATACTAAGTAGATTAAAAAATAAAAAAAAGATTTTAAATTGGTTTTTGAGTAAATTTATTTTTTATTATTTTTACTATTCTTACTCTTTCAAGACTTTTATTCATAAACAATGTACATAAAATAATATTACTTCAATTTCACTCTAAACAAAAATGTTATTCTGCTAAATATAACAAAATATACATAGGTAATCAAGTGAACAAAAATTTAGGCAAAACACATTTTTTGGTTATCGAAGAAAAACTTATTTTTAAATTGTTAATATGCCCACTTTTACTAAATTTTGAATAAAGAAATTTAATTATTTTTAAAATCTAACCTTTATAAAAAAACTTTTATAAGTTTTTTTAAATGAAATAATATGTTTGTGGGGTGCTGCAATTTTTAACAACTATTTTTTTTAACTTAAAACATCTAGGTTAATTGAAAAAAAAAATCTAAAATCTTCACTTTTAAATCAAAAAGTGGGGATCTTATAGATCAAAACACTTTAAAAAATCTAAATGCTATTTTAAAGTTGGTTAGGAAGTTAGCAAAGTATCTTTAGTTTAAGATAAAAAAAAATCCTTTGAAATTTTTCAAAAGGATTTTTTTTTATCTTAAACTAAAGATTATTTTTGAACACAATTTTTTAAGACATTTATTTTTTTGTAAAAAAAATTTTTATTAAGATTTCTTCATCCCTAAACTCTGAAACACAAACCTTCTTAAACTAGGACCCAGGTCACTGGGCAGTGAAACAGGTTAAGCACTGTATTCCCGGAGGCATAGGGTGATATGGAACCTCAAATCTCTTGATTGTGCCCTGAAAGTACTTCCACTAACATGCTACCATATTGCTTCAAATTACTTACCACAAATTTAATTATGATTAAGACATCAAACTATTTATTTGGTAAATATATTATAAGGTAATAAAAAGGTAATTAAACTTCAGCTTCTGAAAAACAAAACCTATAATTATTAATTATAGTATTTTGTCATTTTATCTAAAGTTTGAAGTTTATCTAAATTTGAATGTTTTTGTAAGACAAAAAAACTCCCACCAAAACTTTGTTGTGCTTACAAGATTAAATAATTGCATCATGTTCTAGACAAACAAAATGTATTTAGAACTTTTTTTTTTTTTTTTATATAGGAACATTGAATAGAAGGATGATATGAAAACAGCATATTTTGCTCATCAGGTTTTATTAATAAAGATTCATAAATCTGTTTATCTACATCTATTTGTAAACATCAAAAAAAAAAAAAAAAAATTGTTTGACTCTTTTTTCTCTGAATTCACATTAGGTTATTGGGTTTAAATTTTTAAGTTTTAATGCAATTATGTAAAAATTTTAGAAAAGTTTTAGAAAACTAATAACTGACTTAGTAGAAAAATCAACAACTTTTAAAGAAAAATGAAGAAAGTAAAAAAATCCAAAGTAGCAAAATTAGCCAAAAATATCTTTTAAAAAAGTTATTTGGATTGGAAAAACTTAAAATTACTGTTGCAAAGATGAAGAATGGAAACAGCTGATTAACTGATATGCAATTACTTAGTTCATAATTATAATATTTTAATTGCTTCTGTATGAAACTAATTATTTCAAAATCATGATTCAGTTAAAGCGCTTTAACCTCCCACCCTTTTCTTCCTCTTATCCTGGAAACGTTTAGAACATTGCCAAAAAATAAATAAAATAGAAGAAAGATAGCCATGTTTATTATGTTATAAAGAAGCAACAAAGGATTCAACTGAACTTTTATTACTTTATAAGAAACAACAAAAAAATCAAACTTAAATTTCATTATTTGAAAAAAGTAGAGAGACTTTCTGCTAGGATTCCAACAATTTAGCAGACAAAATTAAATTAGGTGCTTTAGCAAGATTGTTATACATTTGTAAAAGTAGAATTTACAGGGGTTTTAAGTGTTTCATTCAAAAAAAGTATGCATTTGTTATCTGACAAAATGGTTCTGGTGGAATTTCTCACTGTCTACCATTGAATCTATTATTAGACATGCAAATAAGTTATCTATTGAATTACAGTTAGCATGTTAAAGATATGGTTACAAATTTCACTGTAAAGATTTTTGGACAACTTTACATTGAGAAAACTTAACTTTACTCCTAAAAATCTCATGTTTAAAGAGTTTCAAATAAATTAGAATGCAATAAAGGATTCCATAGATAAGTCAAAGATTTCAAAGTTTGATAAAGCTGCAAATAATAAAATAAGTTTAAAAAACAGATTAAAAAAACTATTCTATTTTGAAAACAACCACTTGCTTATCTACTCATTTTAAGAGATAACTTTAACTAGAAAAACTTAAACTCATTAACTTTAGGCAAATATAAATTTTGAAGTTCGTGCTTCATCTGATTCTCCAACACATTTAATTACAAAGTTTTTATATTATTTGCATATCCGAGTTTTAAGTAATTGCCTGTTATAACAATTGACAGCTGGTTTACAAAAAAAAAAAAAAAAAAAAAAATCAGCAGAATGGCAAAAATTAATATTCTATTTGTGATTCTTTTTACTTTCTGCACATTTTTAAGACATCAAAACATACTGACAGATGGAACTGTATAGAAAGTGAAAGAGCCTAATAACCCAAGAACTAAAGATGTGCTATAGAGGAACATTAAAATCAATAGAGAAACATATAGAGTATTTAGATAAAACCTTGGTGCTATTATTTCTCGCAGATCCAGAACTTGGAGATAACAAGTAAAAAAAATTCCCTTAGTCAAAAACTATTTTCTATTAATTTGTTTTTAGACATCATGAAAAGTCTGAAAATTTAAATCTCCTAAATGACCTAGACTTTACTTTTTTGGTCGGTAATAAAAAGCTAAATAAAAGCACAAATAAATTAACTAAAAGTATTTAAAAAAACAAAAACATTATTACCACCATATTGTTTCAATCTCAATCTATTCTTGAAAAAAGTCACGTTCTCCAAAGTAAGTAATTATCTTTTTCAGTGAGGCCTATTTTAATAGTTAAATGCGCCACCTGGGGATATACTCACGTATCAATTCACTTATTTGTCATTAATTCAGGTTTAAACCTGACTATTTTTTTAATGTGCTTTTACTTAATCTCTTTATTTAATCAACTTTCTTTTTGTATTTTATCAGTCTTCTTCATCCAAAAACTGCACTCTTTTCAAAGCTGTCTCTTATTAAACTAGCCAAACGTTATCTCATTATCACTTAACCAATAATTATTAATGGGGAATTTATTGCTTATCACACTTAATAAGTTGGTTCTAGTACCACTGATTCTTGCTGGCTATTTAAATATTTATTTTAAGATTATCCTATGATCTCACTAAAACTCACTTTATAAATCACAAGCTTCTTCTACATTAGATTCTCGAACCACACTTCTCACTACTACTTTAAAGCTAACTGAAATTCTTTAGATTAGAAATAGTTCTTGAGCTAATATTTTTCCTATCTCTGCGAAAAACTGATTTTCCTTTAGAATATCCTGGATTTAGGCATGTATGGAATCTTTACTTGCCTCCAAATTGATCACCATATCATATCACTTCATTACATTATTGACATATTAAGATGCCACATCTGATTGAGCTTAAGCAAACAGAGAAACTTCATATGCACATCATAACTAGCTGTATATTCTTCCCTTGGAATGAAGTATAAAATTGCATTGTTGTTGATTGCATTTGAATGAATTGATCACAAAGCTGGTGGTTTTTGAAGAAAACTAGAGAAATCTCAGTCTGCTTATATCAGTCAATATGTAAACATAGATTTAAAAAAATTAATTTCGAGCAAGTAACATTTTTTTTTTACTTTTAATGCATTAAACTCTGTTACCTGTTCCACATGTGAGACATTAAAAAATGTCTTATACAAAGAACTAGTGCTAACTACTAGATTTTTAAGTACAGAAAGTAAATAATAGTATTGGTCTTGGTCTAAAGATACTTATCATTTAGTTTAAAGAAAAAGCTCAGCTATTTTATAATTTCCTTAAACCATCTAACTTCATCCTGTGGAAATGACAGAATCATGTTTCTTAATTAACTTTGCTGTTTTACAAGAACTGCTGACTCTATATATATAATGTTGCCAATCTTAAACAAACCTGCAAACTTAGTTAATAAAATAATTTTTTTTTAATTATATTCATCACCCCAAGGTCAACGAATCCACTACAGTCATGGGGGCTACTCTTTTTTTCTTTGTCTTCATTTTCTCTTATTTTCTTTTATCTTTTTATTCTGCTTTTATCTCCTTTTATTTGAACCTTCAAAAATTGAATCAACTACAATAAAGTAATCAATTAACCGTAAGCTTACTCAAGTAATCAATTAACTAATTTAGGCTACACTAAAGTAAATCAATTAACCTTAATTTACACTTAAGTAATCAATTAACCATAAGCTGCACTAAAGTAACCAATTAACCTTAATCTACACTAAAGTAATCAATTAACCATAAGCTACACTAAAGTAATCTATTAACCTTAAGCTTCACTAAAATAATCAATCAGGATTCCCACTATTAGGACTAAGGCTGAAATTAAGAATTTTAAGGAGATTTAAGGAGATATTTTTCTAATATTTAAGGAGATTTGGTCACAAACAACATTTTTTTGAAAGAAAAAGTAAGGATAATTAAAGGGACTACCAAGTCCCGAGACATGTGTTCATATTAAAGAGAATGTTAAAAAAAAACGTCTGAGCAAATTTTTTTTGATTAAAACTAATTAATAAATGTTTACCAAAAAAAAACAAATCTTGTTGTTTTAGTCGAAGCTTGTCTTCTCTGTTTTCTGTGGTATTTTGAGTATATAAAATAAACGCGATTTTCTAGGCGCATTATACAGACTTGATAATTCATTTAAGCGCGTTTAATTCATAGGAGTTTTAGAGCATGACGTCATTGGAAACATTCTAGAAATTCTTTAAAAATTTCACTATTAAATTTTACTCAAATAGCTAACTATAGTTACTTATTTTATTAAAAATTTATTTTATTAATTGTGCGTTAGTTTTTTACAAATCTAATAAACAATTAATTAAACCAAACACTAAGAAAAGATATAAAAATTAAGAATATACTAATAAAATATATAATTTGTAATCAACTTTCAAAATTTTGACAATTTAAAAAATATATATTATAAAACATTTATTTTTGTAAACAAATGATAATAGTTTAAAAGTTTTACGGCGTTACAGATGTGGCTCCGAGAATGAGCCAAAATATTAAAGTAATAGTTCATTTGATAATATACTCTTAAAAAAATTTATGCTAGATAACTCAAAACGCAACAATTCGTAATAATACAACTACTAAAACAACAGAATACTCTAGAACTTTATTTCGCTTAGTCAGCGTGTTTTTTGAACCAATAGAATTAGTTTGTTCGCAAATTTGGCGGGTTTTTAGTGTTTGCGAATATTCTTTTTATTCTTCCGCAAGATGTTTTAAGAACATTCAAGTTAATTATGTTTCCATGTATGTCTGTAAAATAAAAATTAATATATATTAATTTTTTAATTTTTAAGCCCACGGCATAATATATATTGGATGTTATAATGGATTTATAAATAGTGAAATAAGATCACCTCAATACCAAAAAATACATTTTTAAAAATCAGAGAAAAAATGCGTTAATAATTTTTTTTTTTAATATTTACAAAGTAAATTAATAAAAGTGCATTATTGTTTAGGTTAAAAATTATTTTATCTAATATTTTGAAAGAAAAACTTATAACAAAAGAAATCAAAATACATGTGGCCTAGACGATTATTTAAAAAAAGTTGCGCAAATAAAATACTATTTTTTTTTTTATTTTATTTCTGTTTTTAATTTTATTTTGTTTTTAATTTTGTTTTACAAACACATTTTAGAACTTTAAAATATAATAAAAATGAATATGATTTGGAAATTGTATGTAAAAATAACAATCGGTGTTTTAAACAAACAAACAAAATTTCTATGACGTCATGCACTAAAACTCCTATGAATTAAACGCGCTTGAATAAATTATCAAGTCTGTATAATGCGCCTGGAAAATCACGTTTATTTTACATACTCAAAATATCACAGAAAACGGAGAAGACGAGCTTCGACTAAAACAACAAGATTTGTTTTTCTTGGTATACATTTATAAATTAGTTTTAATCAAAAAAAATTTGCTCAGACGTTTTTTTTTTAACATTATCTTTAATATGAACACAACATGTCTCGGGACTTGGTAGTCCCTTTAAGGAGAAAACGATTACATTAAAAACATAATCTTATTTTTTTCAATAAATTTTAAATATAAACAGAGACATTATTTTTACTTTATATATATATATATATATATATATATATATATATATATATATATATATATATATATATATATATATATATATATATATATATATATATATATATATATATATATATATATATATATATATATATATATATATGTATAAATATTAATATATATATAATAACAAAAATAGGTTTGAAAACTATCAAAAATCTAACTATTATCTTCTTTATTAACAAGTATAATCCATTCACTTTAAAAATTTTTTCTAGATAAATAAAAAAAAAAAAAAAAAATAAGGAGAAATTAAGGAGAGTAACTTTTTTTAAGGACATTTAAGGAGATTTTTATTTTTTAAGGATATTTAAGGTTTTTAAGGAGGTGTGGGAACCCTGTCAATTAACCTTAATCTACACTAAAGTAATTAATTAACCTTAAGCTGCATTAAAGTTTTAAATCAAATATGATCAATATATAATAAACTAGTTGTTAATTGCTAATTTAGCAAAGAACAATGCTCTAGAAACTATAACATACATTTATTATTACAGCAAACCCCAAAATATTACAATTACGGGCAGGTGAGGTTAGTCATAGTGAAAGCAAATCAACTCGAAGCAAATCTCTGATATAACCCTCAATTTTATTGTGGATAAGAAGGGGGAGCTATTAAACATTGGATTGTAATTTTCCTTGTGACAGTAAGACGATGAACAGTCCTAACCTGCAAAACAAGTTAACACTAGGAAGTATATCCAGTTAGAAAAAAACTGCTTAAACTCATTCATGTCTTATATAAATAAGAATATTAAAACCAAATCACACAAATGTGGAATTATGGCTCTAAACTTCAAAAATACTTGTAACATGTTGAAAAAACAATTTTTTATTTACATATATTTCCCGAGTTACTATGAAGTACATAAAAACTTCAGAAAAAAAAAACTTTTTTAACAGCATTATCCAGGCTTACCTTGAATATTTCAAGTAATTCATTTTTACTAGAACTTCATGGTTTTGTCAAAATCCTCCAAAATCAGACATTTAAAAATTGGTACTAAAGTTATTTACTTTTTTAGTTAACTTATCATTTTGAAAAGCAGCTGTGGTGCAGTGGTAGCACACTTGCCTTAAGGACCCGTAGTTCAAACCCCCCCAAAAAAATTTTTTCAAAAAAATAAAATAAAACTACCTAAACGCTCTTCATCAGGATCGAGTTCATCTTTCTGCCCATCTTCTAATACATTAATTTTTATGGGCTAAAAAAAAATTACATAAATATAACAAAAAAAAAATATTATTTTTAATAACTAGTAAAACATTAATAAAATGATGTTTTATGTGTTTATACTCTTACGAAAATATTCCATGGAATTCCATGAGTATTCCGTAGAATTCCATGAAAATTCCATTGAATTCTATGAGCAAACCATGGTTTTCCCATGTAAATTAAAATTTCATAAAATTTCCGTGGGGGAATTTCCATGTAAATAAAAATTCCAATGAAATTTCCATGGATAAACAATGGTTTTTTTTCCATAGCTCATGTTGCACCATGGGTTTTACAAATACCTGTTTAAAAATACCTTCATAGCTTGTAGAGTTACAATCATTTGTAACTGAAGAAAATAATATTTTTTTTATTCTTCTGTTTTTCTTTATTTAATAAGATTATAAATTATGTTTTTTACAATGCATCACATTTGATATGATTCAAATTAAACAAACAGAGATAAACAACTAGACATACTTACAATAGCTAGAATATGATAAATGAATGTAATTTATAATGGATCATAATATAATACTATCAGAGATGTAGGTCTTTAGAATTAAATCTTGGTCCCGAGATGTCTCGTGACACATATTTAACTATCTTGGTCTTGAAACTTGTAGTCTCAAGTCTTGGTCTTGGCTATTACTGTATTTACATATTACATATCTATTATCAAATTATGAATCATAATATATATGCCTTAATAAATATATGCATTTGATAATACATCATAATTTGTGATGCATTATAAAATGCATATATATATATAACTTATTCTAGCTATTGCTAACAGCTTTGCTTACTTTGTATAACTTGCAATAGTATAGCAAGTGAATCAGTTTGATTTTTAATGTTTATTTGGTTTACAACAAACATTTTAGTTTTAATGTACATTAGTATTAATGTACATAACCAGTGTACTAGATAAGCTTAGATAAGCATTGTATCAGATAAAATTAGATAAGTTAAAATAAGCAGTGTATCGGATAAGATTAGATAAACTTAGATAAGCAGTGTATCAGATAAGATTAGACAAGTTAAGATAAGCAGTGTATCGGATAAGATTAAATAAGCTTAGGTAAGCAGTGTATCAGATAAGATTAGATAAGCTTAGATAAGCAGTGTATCAGATAAGATTAGATAAGTTAAGATAAGCAGTGTATCGGATAAGATTAGATAAGCTTAGATAAGCAGTGTATCGGAAAAGATTAGATAAGCTTAGATAAGCAGTGTATCGGATAAAATTAGATAAACTTAGATAAGCAATGTATCGGATAAGATTAGATAACTAATGTACAAAAGATAACTAGTTGATAACTTATGTACAAAAAATAGTTTGCATAAAAATGTTTAAAGTTAAAACACTTTATTGTATAGTAAATGTTTATTAAGTTTTAAAAAACTTTTATAATAAAAATTTTATTCAATTTTATGATAAATATTTTATTCAATTTTATAAATATTTTATTCAATTTTATGATAAATAATTTATTCAAATTAAGTTAGCAGCCAGATCTAGTAGAGATATTTATTATGTTTTTTCTTTACTACTAAATAGTTTGTGTATAAATCCTTTTAGTTTTAATTTATTATTTTATTTAAATTACTACATTATAAGCCAACAGGTTCGACTAGTGATATAAATAATGTTGTTCATCATTTGTATCATTTATAACATTGTCAGTTTTTATATGCATTTAATATTTTTATTATTATTACAGTTATTTATTAGTAATTTTTACTATTACAGTTTTTATTTTTATTATTTTTATTTAATATTTTAAACCGTTTAAAAGCTGTCTAATTAAAATGGTGAAGTGAGTTCAAATTAATCAGAAAAGATATAAGCGCTATTTTTGGGATTCAACTTGTAATGATGTTTCAAGAACAAATAAGCGAAGAAGGAAAACTACGATGTTTTTAGAATATTAGAAAGGGAAGTTAATTAATGCACACGATTTTTATTCACAGTTAAATGTAAGTATATAAAAGTAATTTTTATAAATAATACACTATTATTTATTATAATACAATTATTTTTATTTGTTTATATTTAACTAATGTAAAGTGCTCGTGTAAAATAGATTTAAATAATTTATGCACACACTTTTATATTTAGTATGTTTTTACATTACTATATTTAATAAATTACATATTTATTATATTTATGATGTTTAGAATAGTAAAGTAAAAATATAATAAACTTTTTAATGTAATAGTGTGTGCATAAGTCCTTTTATTTTAACTTTATCATTTTATTTAAATTACTGCATTATAAGCAAGGATTATAAGTTTGACTGGTGATAAAATGTTTGACATCAAATAGAAATAATGTTTTACAGCAACAAATATAATATTACAAGTAATCATATATTTGTTGCTGCCTTGTTCTTTATAAATGTTAACAACATACAGGTAACATTTATATATGTTCATTAATCTTTCATTTTAACTTCATCATTTTATTTAAATTACTACATTATCAGCAGGCAGGTTTGACTGGAGATAATAATAATATTTTTTATCTTTCAGATAGCTCAGGCTAAGAAGTAAGCATTTTATAAATTAATATTTATAAGTAATAATACATTTATTGCTGCTTTTTTCTATATAAATGTTAACAACATACAGGTAACATTTATATATGTACATAAATCATTTTATTTTAACTTTATCACTATATTTGAATTACTACATTGTCAGCAAGCAGGTTTGACTGGCAATATAAATTATGTTTTAAATTAATACAAGTAATAATATATTTGTTGCTGCCTTGTTCTATATAAATGTTACTAACATGCAGATAACATTTATATATGTATTAATTTTTGCATAAATCTTTTTATTTTAACTTTATCATTTTATTTAAATTACAACATTAGAAGCAGGAAGACTTGACTGGAAATATAAATGATGTGGTACACCATGCAGATAGATTAAGCCAAAAAGAGGTAATAATCTTATAATTATTATTTACAAATAATGATATATTCATTGCTACTTTTTTCTATATAAATGTTACCCAACATTCTGTCAGCTGGGAACCAAGAGGCCATATGCCCACATTTTGTGTTTTTTTCGTTTGTCATCAATAAATATTCAACAATTAATTTAGTAAGTGTCCAATAAATCTAGTCTCAAGAATGATACAATTTTCTGCAAGAATGATACAACTTTTAAAAACATTTATAAAATTACTTGGATATTCTGGCAGAAAGTCTTTACAAGAATGATACAACTTTTAAAAATATTTATAAAATAAGTTGGACATTCTGGTAGAAAGTCTTTACAAATTACATTTTAAAACTTGATTTTCTCGGAAACACAAAAATAGACATACGGGTTCGTAAAAGACATACTCTTGGTTCTTGGCTGACAATTTTGCAACATTTATACAGAACATTCAAAAAGTTGTGTGTTAGTGCATAATTATAAAGTAAATATTAATAGATAATAGTTATAAGTATAAAGAAATTAGTAAATAAAGAAAATTAATTAGTATGTATATATTAATTTTATGATGTATTGTCTAGATTGGTAAAATGCACAATGATACTAACTGTGATGAAAACAATCATGAATATCAAAATGTGAATGGTAATTTGTTTGACGGTTACCTGGTTCTGCAATTACAGTTAGCAGTACAATCGCACTTATAAATGGCCTTGATATTTTTTTGAATTTAATTTGATGATTTTTAATTTGTTAAAACTTGAAGTTGTTAATTATCAAATTAACATATACTATTTTTATCAAATAGTTTATATAAAATAATAAACATATAAATTGTTATGTTTTATTTTAATTGTTATATATGTAAAAATTAATTTCTTAATTTATTTCAATTGTTTATCACTATATGTATACCACTTACAGTATGATATTACTTGTAGATTTTGTTTTATTTATTTTCAGTATGCTTTTACATATTCACGCACAAAATATTGTGGTGAAGTCAAATTTTAATGTTTTAGGTGCATTATAGCTATATTTTTTAAAGATTTGTAGGATTCATCAAGATTTAAATTCTATTTTGTTTATTGACTTTATTGCAAAACCAATCCCATAGATTAAAAGGACTCAGTAATATTAGCAAGATAAAATTTGCTTTGATAGTTTATATGACAATTGAAATAACATTAGATTTTAAAAAACTTGAAAACAAAAAAATGCTATCTTACCATGAAAAAACCATGGAATTTCCATGGGTATTTGGAACACCTTTCCATGGAAATACCATGGTTTTTCCGTACTGGTACTATATGTGTTATGTATATATACTAGACATTAAGTTTACTAATGTGTAAATGCTTGAAAATGATTTGTTATGCGTATAAACAGTTTTACTTGTAGCAAGTATTTTATGTATAACTGTTACATATAAGGTTTATTATAAAAAAATTACTTAAAAACTAAATTTAAAGATCACTAGCTTTGAATAATTGAATAAAGCATATATGGCAGGCTTGTATTGCAAATTTTTTGTGTTTAAGATGCAATTGACTACAAAAAAAAATTAAAATTTAAAAAGTGATTTGAACTTCAAATTACAAGGAAGTGTAAAAAATAAATGAGCTTAAACATTTATTTACCCTAGCTTTAAATGCTCCCCATTTGGTTACACCTCACAAAAAATTTTCAAAAAACTGTCATTTCTTAAACTAATCTTTGTAAAGCATTAATAAGACATAAACTGTGTGTTAATTTAGGGCAAAGGCTATAGTAGAATTATCTTAGAGCTTTTTGTAAAAACCTCCTTACTTGACACTTGCATCGCTTATTAAAATTTAAAATTTTCTTTTCCTCTTGTAAAGTTATAAAATGTTAAAAAAAATTTGCATTTTTTAGATTTTTCTTTTTGGAAAAACTTGAATCCCCTTAGATTAACATATTCATATAAACTTTTTTTTGCTTTAAAGCTTAAAGTTAGATCCATTCCATTCTCATTTTGTATACTAACCAAAAGGAAAAGGTTATCATTAAAAGACCCAACCCAGATATGATAACAATATTCTAAGCAAGAACAAACAAGAGATTTATAAAGGAAGAAAAAA